GGGCAAAGTTGAGAAAGACCATGAGGGAGCTGGCTGTGTGTGCCGTGTGGTAGGCAAAGGTCTTAGGCATATTATGTTCTACTACTAGGGGGCATCCCTACCATTTCTTCACCATCCCAAGATGTTCCAGGAATAATGGAGCAAAACATCAGTGAAGGGTTGTTCCTGGCTGATGACCCTGCAGTTGGCCTGATGGCACTATTCGAGGTGACACTTTTGCCATTCAAGTTTTTGTGCTGCTATACCAGTTAGACCGCAGTAAGTAACAATACTGTAGTGTTGTTCTGCACCGTTATGTTGCATTAGTGTATAATATGTGGGTCACATAAATTACAGCGACTGAGAATGGTAAAGAAGCTGTGTACCTGAGTATTGATATATCAACAATTAATCTAAATGGCATATTCCGAAAGCAAACATCGGCAGAAATCGCTCCACATTTGCTCTTTAACATTACTTTATTTCTTGCAGGTTAAAATCAACACTTTAGTAAGTAGATAGTTATATAGATTGCATTTAGGGCTCAAACGATTCATCAATTAAATTGATTAATTCAAATACTAAAATGCATCAACGCAAATTCTTTGCATCGAGGCTTTGTTTAATCCATATAACTATATAGCACACTGTTTCACACGAACATTTATTACTGTTGTTTATTGCACTTATGATAGTCAAGCTAAAAGAAAACAACAACTCTGTAATGTTACCGTCCGTCCACCGTAAAACATTACACTGCCTCGGCATGCTGTCACACGTCTGACAGGCCAATGTGCACCACACAGAACACTGGCCGACAAATTGTGCAGTTACTGTGGCTTGATACTCATCAAGTAGGTTATTTGATTTCTCACACTTTTGCCGCCCCCTTATCTGACTCCCATTAGCCCTGAAACTGACTGTATTAATCAAACCAAAAATGGCAGCGAATATTGCCACAAATATTGCCCAATCAGGGTAGAAAAGGACAAGTCTTCACAGAATGCGGGTGGGATTTGCATGGGAAGCTGCATTAAAGACAAACCCGGGACGCGGTTTATCCCATGCAAATCATCCCACCCATATTGATTCAAAACGGGACGCACTATTTAGATTCTGTATTTTAAAGGACCGGTGGCAACCATAGTTGTAACGTCACAGCCAAGCAAAAGTGCTTTTTTAACGAGGCATCAATGAATCGATGAAATATTCTGTAGAAGCTTCAAGTACTAAAATCATCGTTAGCTGCAGCCCTAATTGCGTTAGCTGATGAAGTAATGTGGCAAGCCATAATGTTACAACTATAGTATTTTGCAACGGATAATGTTAACAACTGTTGACATTACCAGGCAAGTTAACGTTAACTAAAGCACAACATCACAATGCATTTCACATGGTTGCAGTTATGTTAGTTTACCTGTCCAATAGGATGAAAGCCTACTCTGGGTTGTTTTTTATATCCAAAACAAATGAAGGTCTCTCCATGACTTAAACACATTTTTGAAGTTGACCGTGTTTTGACCAACATTGTCTTAAGCTATCATATCCTTTTAGTCTGACAGGCTTCAGCACATAAAGGTTATGTGAAGTACAAAAAGTTTTGTGAAGTAACAACCTGTTCACAAATAGGCAATAAAAAAACTACATATAGATAAAGGTTTTTCCTTCTTTTTTTCACTATTCAAAGTGTGGGAGAGGCTTATTGTAACGCAACAGGATCCCAAGCATACTAGGAGAAAATTCTCCTTACTTTACATCAACAGAACTAAATTAATGTGATTTCCTCACACATTTTCCGTGATTTATAAAGAATCTGGAAGTCTGACCTCAGAGTCTTCAGTCTACAGTCTGGAGAGTGTAGAAAATCAGAAAACGTCTTCACTCCTGAATCTTGCACAAAATTCTTACTGAGGTCCAACTCTCTTAGATGGAAGGGGTTAGACTTCAGAGCTGAGATCAGAGAAGCACAGGCTTCAACTGTGATCTGACAGTCTGTCAGCCTGCAAAGAAAGGAAAACTTTATTAAATCACCGTTGATGTTCGTGTAGACCTTCAAAGTGAATGGGACAAGATTCTGCACCTCAGAGTCTCCAGCCCACAGTGTGGACTCTTCAGTCCTGCAGAGAGCCATTCAACTCCTGAATCTTTCAGGTGAGTGTTATAACCCAGGTCCAGTTCTATCAGATGTGATGGGTTGGACTGCAGAGCCGATAACAGGACTTCACAGTGAATTTCTGTGAGTCCACACCCAGAAAGTCTGTAAGATTTGAAATTGTGACTATTACAGCTTAACAGAGATTAACGATACAATGGCTACACAATCCAATACGCAATACAACAAACCAATAATGATGGCTCCAACTGTTAAATACTATTGTTGTCATTCATATCTGGACTTACCGAGCTCTTTGGCAGTTCCTCACAGCTGGAATCAGTCTCAGTCGTCCCTCCTCTGATGTGTTGTACTTCTTCAGGTCCAACTCATCCAGAACCTCCTCTGACATCTGCAGCATGTAGGCCAGAGCTGAGCAGTGGATCACAGAGAGTTTCTTCTCTGATCTGTTCTCTGACTTCAGGAACTCTTGGATCTCCTGATGTACAGAGTGGTCGTTCATCTCCGTCAGACAGTGGAAGATGTTGATGCTTCTGTCAGGAGAGATCTCATCACTGTTCATCTCCTTCAGGATGTTGATGGCTCTCTGGATGGTTCTTGAACTGGTCTTTGTCTGACCCAGCAGGCCTCCTAAGAGTCTCTGGTTGGACTCCAGACAGAGGCCATGAAGGAAGCGAACAAACAGGTCCAGGTGGCCACTTATACTTTTGAGAGATTTCTTCATGGCTCTCACCAGGAAGACATCCACGGAAGGGTAATCATGATTATTGTCATCTTTCAGGAAACAGTCACTGTTTTCACTGTCCCAGTCCTTCCCCAGGAAGTCCTCCAGTCCCTCTGAGTTCCTGCTGGTGTAACAGTGGAACATGTAGACTGCAGCCAGAAACTCCTGAACGCTCAGATGAACAAAGCAGTAGACTGTTTTCTGGAAGATCACACTCTCTCTTTTGAAGATCTCTGTACAAACTCCTGAGTACACCGAGGTCTCTGTGACATCAAGACCACACTGCTCCAGGTCTTCTTGGTAGAACATGAGGTTTCCTTTCTCCAGCTGATCAAACGCCAGCCTCCCCAGCTTCAGAAGAACCTCCCTGTCAGCCTCCGTCAGCTCCTGTGGACTCGTCTCATGTCCCTCATCGTACTTCTGCTTCTTCCTCTTTATCTGAACCAGCAGGAAGTGTGAGTACAGGTCAGTCAGGGTCTTGGGCAGCTCTCCTCTCTGCTCTGTAGTCAACATGTGCTCCAGAACTGTAGCAGTGATCCAGCAGAAGACTGGGATTAGACACATGATGTGGAGGCTCCTGGAGGTCTTGATGTGTGAGATGATTCTGCTGGACAGCTCTTCATCACTGACTCTCCTCCTGAAGTACTCCTCCTTCTGGGCGTCAGCGAAGCCTCGTACTTCCGTTACCCTGCCGACACACGAAGGAGGGATCCGATTGGCCGCCGCAGGTCGGGAAGTTATCCAGACGAGAGCCGAGGGAAGCAGATTCCCCTCGATGAGGTTTGTCAGCAGCAGGTTGACTGATGACTTCTGTGTGACATCAGACACAACCTCACTGTTGTGGAAATCCAATGAAAGTCTGCTTTCATCCAGGCCGTCAAAGATGAACAACAGTTTCCAGACGGCGAGCTTCTCTGCTGGGACCTTCTGTAATGTTGGATGGAAAACGTGGAGCAGCGTGAGGAGACTGTGCCGCTCATCTTTGATCAAGTTCAGCTCCCTGAACGAGAGCAGAACCAGCAGACCGACATCTTGGTTTTCCGAGCCCTCTGCCCAGTCCAGAGTGAACTTCTGCACCGAGAAGGTTTTTCCAACGCCAGCGACGCCGTTGGTCAGAACCACTCTGATGGCTCTCTGTTGGCCAGGTAAGGCTTTAAAGATGTCCTGGCACCTGATTGGAGCGTCATGGAGGGTCTTCTTCTTGGAAGCTGTCTCAAGCTGCCTCACCTCATGCTGGGTATTAACCTCTTCACTCTGTCCCTCTGTGATGTAGAGCTCAGTGTAGATCCTGTTGAGGAGGGTTCCACTTCCTGTTTCATCACTTCCTTCAGTCACACGTTCACATCTCCTCCTCAGACTGATCTTATGTTCATCTAAAACCTCCTGCAGACCACCTCTCACTAAAGAAGAGAAACAATGTGAGATAAAACAAAGAATATGTGCTGATTATTTTCATTACTAATATAAAACATCAGAATATCTGAAGAAGCAGACAGATGTCCAGTCTTACTTTGTACAGAGCTGCTCTGACTGGCTGTCTGCAGTCCAGCTCTGGTTCTGGATCTGTCTCCACACTGGGGACAGGAGGAGTGTCCCGATGAAGCAGACTGGTCCCAGTATTGGGTGATGCACCATCTGCAGAACCAGTGTCCACAGCTGGTAGAGACTGGATCCTTCAGGACGTCCTGACACAAAGCACAGCAGGACGGCTGCTCCTCCACAGGAACAGGACTCCTCTTCCTCTCTCTGTGAAGACATTTCTTTAGAACTTTTCTGTTTGAATTCAGCTTTCAGTCAGTAATGAAGATGATTGTTCCTTTTATTTCAGCTCTCCTGCTCTCAGAAACACTAATTAACTGCTTTTCCTGTCTGACTGTCTGATTAAACATTTAGTGATCTGCCTGCAGTTTGTTATTAACACAAACTCAACACTTCCTGCAGCTCCTTCACAGTAAAAGCCATTAAAGAGAGCTGATTATGTCCTTCACTATTTTACAGTCTGTTACGTCCCGGTGGCATCCAGGAGATGTGGGACTAACAGCTAATTTGAATTTCCGGGGTGGAAAGTCAAGCAGGTATCACAGGTTCAAGTTTTTAACAGAAATGTATTGTAAGCAGTGGAAACGTAAGGAAATGGCTAACACAAGACAACACCCTGGACAACAGAACTATCCTCACCCCTGACACCATCTATTTCCGGTACAATGGAGGATTCTACAGACAGAAGCATGGCTGTGCCATGGGCTCACCAGTATCCCCATTGTGGCTTCTCTACATGGAAGAAGTGGAGAATAAGCCCTCAACTCCTTCAGAGAAACAGCACCGAGCCACTGGTACAGATATGTGGACGACACCTGGGTCAAAATCAAAAGCCAGGAAGTGCAAGCCTTCACAGAACACATCAACTCTGTGGACAGTAACATCAAGTTCACATGAGAAGATGTCCACAACAACAGTTTGGCCTTCCTGGACTGCGCTGTACACATTGAAGAGGACAAGAGCCTGCAGATTGGTGTTTACAGAAAATTTACAGGCTTTTTTTTAAACCCAAGAACACGCTAAGACAGATGCTGGTCCACCCCAAGGACTGCACCCCCAAGCACAAGAAAAGCAACCTAGTGTTTGCTGTTCAATGCAGTGAGGATTGCACAGACCTCTATATTGGGGAGACTAAACATTTACTTTTAGCTGACGCTTTTTATCCAAAGCGACTTACAATTGCTATACATGTCAGAGGTCACACACCTCTGGAGCAACTATGGGTTAAGTGTCTTGCTCAGGGACACAATGGTGGATGTCTCACAGTGGGAATTGAACCCAGGTTTCCCACATTAAAGGCAAGCATCTTATCTATGCACCATCACCACCCCACTACACAAACGCATGGCTCAACACAGAAGGGCCAACTCCTCAGGTCAAGACTCTGCAGTCTACTTACATCTGAAGGACAGAGGACACTCGTTTGAGGTCCACCAGGTGCACATTTTAGACAGAGAAGATGGATGGTTTGAAAGAGGTGTCAAGGAAGCCATCTACACCAGGGTCGAGAAGAACCCGGAGGAGGGGGTCTACGCCACCAATTATCCCCCACTTACAATGCTGTCCTTTCATCACTTCCCAGGAAACTCAACAAACGTAACCTATTGGCCTCAGGTGAAGATACCAACGATGGTCGTTCAGTCTTGGCCACAGGTAGTCTTAACGACTGTAACGACTGTCGTCACAGCAACCGGGAACACTAACGAACCAGCGGTATCGATGACCCGGGCCAACGACCCCACTGAGGTTAATAGCTGAGTTTCCCTGCCAGTCAGTCAGAACTGAAGAAGTCCTTTGGATGAGGGACGAAACGTCTTCCAGTATCTTCAACCAAGTCCAGTTGCCCTTCATTTTAACCTTTGTTGGATAACTATGACCTAGAGGACTAAATGTTCTGTAGTGGTCCTATTAGATCTCAGTGCAGCATTTGATACTGTTGATCACTGCACTCTGATTAATAGACTGAAAACAACTGCGGGCATTACTGGATCAACTCTGGATTGGTTTTCCTCCTATCTTTCAGGAGTTTCTCTGTGTCCATAGGAACATATATGTCAGACTCTGCTCCTTTGTCCTGTGGTGTGCCCCAAGGTTCTGTGCTCAGCCCCCTGCTGTTCAGTCTGTGTATGCTTCCTCTTGGAAAGATTATTGGTAGCTTTGAAGACATATCTTATCATTCTTATGCTGATGACATCCAATTATATTTATCTTTTAGTCCTCATAGGCTAGACAAACTGTCCTTGTTTCACAATTGCTTAGCCTCCATTAACAAATGGATGGTAGACAACTTTTTGCAACTATTCAGACAAAACTGAGGTGCTGATTTTTTCCCCAAACAACATTACCCCTAAAATTAGGCAGGCCATTGGGGCTATATCATCCTCGGTCTGTGGTGTTGTGCGAAATCTGGGTGTCATTTTTGATAAATCTATGTGTTTTAACAGTCATGTTAAATCTGTGGTTCGTTCCTGTTTTTTCCAATCGCAGGAACATTGCTAACATTGAGCTGTGGTTTCTAAAGAAGAGATGGAGATGCTTGTTCATGCTTTTATTTCTTCTCGTCTGGATTATTGCAATGTACTGTACACTTGTTTAAACAAATCCTCCATAGACAAACAGAATGCAGCTGCAAGACATTAGTCTAAAACCAACAGGAGATCACACATTACTCCTGTGCTTAAGGCTCTTCATTGGCTTCCAATTGGTTTTAGAGTACATTTTAAAATTTTAACCATTACTTATAGAGCCTTGCACGTCTTGTTTGTATGTCATTATTTTTCCTGTCACTCTCTACTGTCAACTATCAAATGAAAACAAATATAATATTCTAAAAGACAGAAGTGGTCCAAATCTACATTTGACCATTTTCTGCCCTTTTTTTATCCACTGCTAACTATTCAATGGATGTGTGTGTGTGTGTGTTATGGTGTGGTGCTCACACAGAGCTGTTTAACATGATGTGTAGCTGCTGAAAGTCATAGATTAAGTCTGTTCAGGGGCAAATATCTCAGTCTACAACCTATATAAGAGTAACTCTTCTCGTCCGTACTTTCTCTGTAGGAATCTTTAACAGCATTAGAGAGTTTAAACACCCTCTCTGTGACGTTCATGGATTACTGACAGAATTGTTCTTTAAAAGTATTGCCACATGGCTCGTGCACAGCCCAGTTTTGATAAGTCTAGGATCTAATAATTGTTCTGGAATCACCAAAGTCAATGTAACGTCTTAAATAAATCAATTATTATAGGGACTTGATCCTGATGTAATGTGATTATTTTTGGGATGTTAATAAATAAACCATGGCTCATAATCTAATGTAAGTAATAAAAGCTCTTGGCTCATAGATAACTAATGTGTGAATGTTGTAAACAGAGCTACATTATAAGATCTATACCAGCAGACTTTTGATTAACTAAAGTTACTAAAGTTACATCTTTTGTTTCCTTAATGAGTTCTCAGGTTTTAAATATATTGATTCTAGATATATTTATTTAGTTATAATCACTGTAACTAAACCATTTGTACTCAGCTGAGGAGTTAAATGTTATTGTTCCTTGCTTTATGTTTAGTGCACCAGATCACAAAGGATGACCTGTAGGAAGGAGTGTAATGCTGTCATGTTGGACAAAAGGGGACTCAATATTTTCTTTTATTGTATATAATATTATTCTGTGTATCATTCGTTCATTGATTATTCCTTTTTAAAAACAAAGGAGGGGCTTTGGTTTCTTTTATCTCTGACCGCTGTTGTATCCCTGTGCACGTGTTGTGTGCAACAGCTGTAGTCTTCCTCCGTCCCCAGATTGGTCACATATTCACAAATATAGGCTACTGTTTTTCAAGTCGCATCTCAAATTTACTGCAGCGAATATGATTGTAGATCTGAGCACTAGCCTACATTATAGCCATCTACAAAAATATAATAATATATCTGCAAGATCAGGTCAGCCTGGGTTCAAACTCTAGATCAAAAATAATTCCTATTCTTGGCTAATTGCTTTGCCTGCACAAGTATGTGATGTTTGTGAATGTTTGAGCCATTCTCATGTTTCCAGTCACATACTTATTAAGTATGTCAGTATCCAGATAGCCTTTTGTTTTGGGCTAATCTGAAGCAGCTGGTTACCTTGAGAAAGAAAATCCCCAAACATGTTTATCAAGGATTTTTTTTCGGGGCTACGGCAAAATTGATCAGTACATTAAAGCTCCAGGACACTAACCTACACATTATAACAAAGAAATACTTTTAAACTGTGTTGAGCTAACTCTTACAATACAGTTACATTAAGTGCTCGTCAATACCGTGTTTTAATGTTGAACTTTTTTCTGTTTTGGTTTTAAAATAAAAGAACAAAAACAACTTTTTTTTGTTTGTCCAATTTGGTTTTGAAAAAGAATAATCAAAGAACAATACAAGGATTAATTTTCAATGTTTTGATCCCATTTAGTTTTATTTCTTTTTATTTCTCTTCTTTTTGTCTTCATCCTCAATGCATCATCGTCCATCAGGTCAGTTTACAGTAAAAACAGTCTCTTACTTTGAGTCTGAGGGTCCAGGTTCAGGACTGAAGACTGGAGGAGTTCTGGACCGGTGACTCTTCGTAGACAGACAGCTGGATCCTGAGGACTCTGCTCCGTCCTCCTCTTCCTCTGTCCTCCTCTTCCTCTTCATCATCTTCTGGACTTCAGTCAGTCTGAGAGGTAAAACAGTAAAACTGACTGTGACTCAGAACACAAGAATCAGGAAACAAGTCACACACACACCTTTGGACATCTCCCTGACAAACTGCCTTACCTAATCCTCTGACATTAAACTGACTGTAATCTGAACGCTAAAACAAGTCGTAACCCTCAGAAACTTTCTCTGTCCACGGTAAAATAATAAAATGTTGGATTAACACTCACCCTGCCTCGGCCTTCAGTTCTCCTCCTTCTGCTCTGAACGGACTCTGAACTCTTTCTGCTTCAGGTTCCTCCCTGTTCTCAGTGTAGCTCCTCCCCTCTGCATTTACAGGAAATCAGGTGAGTTTACCTGTGTGTGTGTGTGTGTGTGTGTGTGTGTGTGTGTGTGTGTGTGTGTGTGTGTGTGTGTGTGTGTGTGTGTGTGTGTGTGTGTGTGTGTGTGTGTGTGTGTGTGTGTGTCTTTTGTTTATTAGCGTCTCTCTTGGCCTGAACAGCTTCAATTAATATTAGTTTTGGTCAAAATGTTGGAACTTATTTATGCTCTGCAGAAAATCCTTCACTTAAGACTTTTTATTATAGTGCCTTTATTTTGAGGGGCAGGTATTTATTGCTTTGTCTCACATCCTGTTGACTGAAATGTTTGCTCTTTACGGGAACCCCTTTTCTGTTTGAGGAAATACAAGGGGAGGGAACAGAGGACGGTTCCATAGATCCCTGTTTTCTAAACATTTGACTTCTTTTAACTTATTCTCTGAATTTAGAACAAACACAGCATGAAAGTGTTCAGCTGATGACAGAGATTTAGTTTTACCTGAGTTGAAAGGAAGGAGGAACCCAGGTAGGCGACGACAGAGAGGGAACTGTAAAACAACAGAAGTGAAACGCTGCAGTCAGAGAGTTGAGACTCCAGGTCGATGTGGGAGGAGCTTTGATTCGTCTCTAGATAGAAAGTCCAGGAAACAGATTCACGACTAAACCGGTTTTACGCACAGAGAGAAATGTGCAGACGCATTCTTTTCAAACTCAAAGCTGTGTTCACTGAGGACCTGCAGCCTCATTTCACCTCCAACAGCTGCTCCACCTTCATTAGACCTGTCAAGGAGAAGATCCCGCTGTGCTGCATCAGCGAGGTTGGATGCCATAACATCCCATCATCGTTATTTAACATTAGGAGGATGATCAGTGATTCATTAATAGAGCTCACAGAGAAACAGACTTTACAAAGTGATCAAATAAACAGATAATTCATTCTGAATGTAAATCAACACAAACACCAAAACACAGTCAGTAAAACTAGAAAACTTCTCCCACATGATGTTTCACGTCCACCTTATTATCTCAGCAGCAGCGACCTCCGTATAAATACCAGTTTGTGATGCAGGGAATGGTCTACACATGTTTTTTACATATGCACGGTTAATACATCTGGCCCCTGATTGGCTGGATAATACACACATTTTGAATGAGACTGTCTCGGTGTTTGTTGTGTGCATGCAGGTTTACTCTTTCACTTCAATATGTATATTCATATAATGTTTTTTATTATATTAAAATTAAAGTGTGCCAGACGCTGCCCTGGCCAGGCAGTGAGGGGAACCGCCAGGGGGTCTGGGGTTCGGTAAGAACATGCTGAGGTCTGCAAAAGGAAGATGTAAGGTGCAGAGGCAATGACGTAACTGTCAGCTCGAGCAAAGGAAGATGCAGGGCCGATTCTAGGATCAGATGTTCATGGTGCTCGGCCCCTAAAGAGAAAGTAGCATGCATACAGTGCCTTGCAAAAGTGTTCACTAATTAGTGGAGAGAATAAGAAGGCCTTCTAGAGAGGAGCTGGTGCAGAGCGGAGCGGGTCAGTGAAGGACGTCACTTTGTGTTGAAACGTGGTGAGGACATCGGGGCTCAGATCAGAGGCGTGATGACACATTGGGGTCATGAGACGAGACAATGCAAGAAAACAGGACAAGAAGGTTTTTAGAACTATTTAGATAAAATATTTGATGGTGAAATATATGTGGGTGCTCCCCCAGAAGATTTTGAGCATTAAACTGGTAATTTCCTGCATTCTGGAGACATTTTCTGCTCCAATTTACGGTGGAAATGTCTGTTTTATTTGAGGGAAAACTATATTGCATTGTATGTGTTCTTATTATGCAAATGAACCTTTCTCAGAGCATTTTCTTCTGTTAGTTAATATTTTTCAGAACGTTTTTAACAAAAGCTCAAAGCCTTGAGACTTGACTTGGACTCCAGCTCAGAGACATGAGCGGGAGGAACAGTTTATGTGGGAGAAGGGTATAAAACTAGTCTGCAGCAACCTCAGCTTCAGTTCTACATATTTTTTGATGCGGTTGTTGACCTGCGACACCACTTATTGCAATGCTTCACAATGCTTTCATCTCGTCCCAGGAAACTAAACAAACGTTCACGTTTGGCTCAGGTGAAGAGGCCAACGATGGTCGTTCAGACTTGGCCTCCAATGTGGCTCCAACAACGATTACGACGGTTGTTATAACAACCAGGAGCGCTAACAAAACAGATCTTTATTCAGATCTTAATGCTTCAGTTTTAAATGAATATGATCTGTTTCCATTAATATCCTATTAACTGGTGCAAGCTGTTGCTGTGATAAATATCCTGCCTGGGAGTCCAGTGTTACGTAGAAGCTGGCATTGCGAGCCCGGAGTGGTGGTCACCACATTGCATGTACCAAAGTGATTTTATAATAAACTTACTACTTAATGTTACATTGAGTTCGAGCTCCACGTTGATATTTTCCACTGCTGCTGCACTGTCGGATCACAGCACTGATAGTTCTGTTGGACAAAATGCAAAAGGTGTTTCAGAGCCAGAAAAAGTGTAATTTGGTGTATTTGAAGTCAAACTCTGGTGGCAACTATAAGGAACGTTTAACCTGGTTATGAAGCAGTTTAAATTTAATGTGAATGCCTCTATATGACCCACATAAGCAAACAAAACCATCAGAAGGAAGACTGGCTCATTTACTTCCACATTTCCTGTAAGAGATCCTCCTTCATGAAGGTTATAATGTTCAGTTTGTGTTGGTTCAACTTTATGGTTATTTCTGAGGCTGTAGTCATAGCGACCAAGGATGTTGCACGATGTTGGTGTCCATTAAGTCACAGAAGTGACAAAGAGGTGATTATCACAGTGCTCATTTTTACATTTACCAACAGAAACACACTTCACATGTTTTGTTTTGTGACTCATGAATATTTTAGGAACTCATGTGCCTCTTTGTCCTCTCAGTGTTTTTTGTGTATTGATGACTTAGCAACTATGGATTATTTGTTACTATCAGTTAATATGATATTATATTAGTTTTATTATTAGTCTAAATGACAGTACAGTTATTGTGGCTGTAATGTGTTGTTGTGGACAGCAGGTGGCGCTGCTGTATAAAGAAAGATGTTCAAACTGAGCTTGTGGAGCTTTTCTCTTCCTTCTTCATCAGTACTAACCAGGGCTTGACTTTAACTTTTTTGCTCGGTTTTCTAAATTTACCAGCCGCGCAGCATTTTCACCAGCCACATTTTTGTGGTTGGGAAATTAAGTGTTAGATAATTAAAGTTGACAATCTCATTATTAAATTGGCGTGCTAAAATGTACTATCATTAGCTCTGATGAGATTGTGTGTAATGCTCCTTTTTTTGAAAACATGTAGTCTAATAAGATCAACACATTAAAAGAGCAGCTTCTTATTGTATATAATAAAAGTGCTGCATAGGTTTAAACGATTAATTGAAAAGATAAAAATAAACTGGGAAAAAAACATAAAACAAACATAAAACATAGAATCAACTCTGGAAATGTAGTTGTGATATGTGCTAGTAGTAACACCCAGTCCCTTAACCATGAACAGGCTGTATCAGGGGAGAATTCAATCTCAAAACGTTTGCAGCATTTTCGGGTTGAGCGACATGTTTCTTTGCAACGTTGCTCAACGTTCTGCAACGGGCTTCAGGTGTGTTTTCTCCTGTTGGGTGGGCGTGTGCAATGCAGACAGCAGCACTGAAGTTACTGCTGCTGCTTCACAGTGAAAGACTTCAAGTGGGAAAACGCAGGCTTTTATTGTGAAGCAGCCACAGGAAATGGAACGTAACATAAACTTTCTAAAGAATCTGTACAAAGATAGATTTTATTGTTAAAGTATTTGTAGTTTCTAGTTGTGTTCACGTGAGATTCACAGTGAGACTGTAGGGCGCGGCTCTATTTCAATAAGTCACATTTAATATCCCTGTAAGACTGAACCTGATCGCCTCCTGAACCTTTGGCTTATAAAATGTTGTCTGTGGGGATTCTGGGTAATGTAGTATTTTAATGTAAACAGCAGGTGGCAGCAGAATGAAACCGAGTCAGAGAGGAGGAGTTTTATTTAAGCAAATTTATAGAGGATTTCTCTCACAGCCAGAAATAATATTTAGCTTGTTTTATTTTAGCTGAAACAAACTTTAGACTTTAACACGACTTAAAGTCCTGAGCAGAGAAATGTGAGCGTTTCAAATGTGTTTAAAGAAAAGCAGAGCGCTGAAGGTCCCGTGAGGTTTGCTGTTGGATCCTGTTGGTTTCAGTTTTTAGTGGAATGAACCTTTAATTCAGAGCAGAGACCCGTCCTCCCTCAGCATCATAAATGTTCTGTATCTGTTGCTGAAAACATGAATAAAACATCTTGATTTTTCTCTTTAATGTGTCGTGTTTTTGTTTTATTTCCTTTAGGCTCAGCAGTTTTATTCTGTCAGAGGAAACCTGTCCAGTTTACTCAGCTACCTACCATCGTAACCACACAGGGCTGTCGGAGAGAGATAGTGTCGTTATTGCTGATGTTCACTACTTATTATGTCAGCGGGCTCTCTGTTGGTCAGAACCACTCTGATGGCTCCCTGTTGGCCAGGTAAGGCTTTAAAGATGTCCTGGCACCTGATTGGAGCGTCATGGAGGGTCTTCTTCTTGGAAGCTGTCTCAAGCTGCCTCACCTCATGCTGGGTATTAACCTCTTCACTCTGTCCCTCTGTGATGTAGAGCTCAGTGTAGATCCTGTTGAGGAGGGTTCCACTTCCTGTTTCATCACTTCCTTCAGTCACACGTTCACATCTCCTCCTCAGACTGATCTTATGTTCATCTAAAACCTCCTGCAGACCTCTGCTGGCTGAGAGAGAACTGAGACTCATGGAGCCCGATATTGTCCTGAAGGTGCTTTGTGATCTGCACAACATGTGACTCCTTCTGTTCAGGTAGAAACTCCCAAGCTCAAATTATATTTATTATGTCTGTCCACAGAGCTTTGAAGGTCTGCATGAACGCACACTTGAATGTGAGATGAGTCCTCACATGTCCATTTTAGGTAGATCCACCCCTTAATACTACTTTTACTTTTATATGTTAAAGGTTAATAATTAAATGATCACTAAATGGGTAACTGATTTTAAAGACTTCCTATCACTCTTGATGCTTGATGTTTATGATGAAAGCTGAGCCTCTCAGATAAAGTCTGTGCAGTTTCAAAGATACTGATTCATTTCAGTAGTGTTTAAGAAAATGGTATCTTAAATGTCTCAAATTAAAACAGCACTTTAACGTTACACATAAACCCAGCAAAGGCTCACAGGATGGTGAAGCAGGCAAGGGTCAGAAGTCCAATTAAGGGACAAAGTCCCAAACAGGAAGGTCAAAGGTCACAGGTACAACAGCTGAACAGAAAACCCCCCGTGAGGTCGACCTAAACCTAGTGAGCTAGCAGGTGGCAGGTGAGTCGGCCTTCTTCTCAGCTCCCCTCTAAATGATCCATGCCTACTGTCCCGGTGACTGAAGGAGAGGAAACATCACTGGGTTTAACCCCAACACCTCCGTCTACCTCCAGTTCAGCTCAGCTGGGCTGAGGCACATTTGGACATTTCACTGCCTCCATTAAAAGTCTGAATGTGCTCACCCTGCTCATTCCTTCCCAAACCCAACGCTTCAATAAATGTTCTCTCCTTCCCACTGTTAGGGAGGACTTATGGATGTAGCTTCAGCAGTGATGCAGTCTGTGTGGCTTAACCAGTCCGCTTGCCAGACCAGGGTAGGAAGGTCACACTGGACTCTCCAATCAGCCCATGATAGGCTAAGAGTTGTTTGGGAGGCTGTTAAACACTCCTCATAGGTGCTTTAAGTGTTAATCCACCAGATTTGGACAATAAGCGTTCTGTCTCCCACTTAGAACATAGGAACGGAGGTTAGGAGGAAAACTGTGACCTCTGCTTTGTTGAGAGGTCGAGGGCATCATGTTAGAGGGGAAGGCTGTGATTGGCCGGAGTCTTTTGGCTCTTTTCCCGGCTCTGAAACAGTTTGCATTTTGTGCAACAGAACTGTCAGTGTTCTGTTCAGACATCGCAGCAGCAGTGGAAAATAAACACTGAGCTCTGACTCGGTCCCAGTAATACTGACCCAGTTAAAGTGACATCATGCAGTAAGTGTATTAGAAATAACAGCTTCAAATCATTTTGATGGTACACTTGATTATGTAATAGGGTGAATAGCGTCTCTGGGAATAAAGGGGCCACGGCCCTCAGTGACATCATCAATAGTGGATATAGAACCGGTTGGGAAAAACGTTTTTTAAACCTTTTGGAGGCAAAGCCGACAAACTTTTTCAGCAATTATTAGATTTAACTGCTGATTCTATTCATGTAGTTTTTATGTCCTGGTGACCAGTGACAGTGCAGTTCTGACTCTCTGCACATTCATCCAGAGAGGAGCCTGGTCTGCCCGGAGGCGTCGCCAAGATGGCTGCCGAGTGGCAGGACTGGCCTGTAAGGACTTTGGGATTATCCAGCCAATCAAGGGCCAGATGTGTAAAAAGCATGTGTAGACCATTCCCCGCATCACAAACTGGTATTTATACAGGAGGTGAAACTTCAGACCAGCGTGCACACAGTTTCCTACAGAGAGCTGCCGCGGATCTTCTCCTTGACAGGTCTACTGAAGGTGGAGCAGCTGTTGGAGGTGAAATGAGGCTGCAGTTCCTCAGTGAACACAGCTTTGAGTTTGAAAAGAATGCGTCTGCACATTTCTCTCTGTGCGTAAAACCGGTTTAGTCGTGAATCTGTTTCCTGGACTTTCTGTCTAGAGACAAATCAAAGCTCCTCCCACATCGACCTGGAGTCTCAACTCTCTGACTGCAGCGTTTCACTTCTGTTGTTTTACAGTTCCCTCTCTGTTGTCGCCTACCTGGGTTCCTCCTTCCTTTCAACTCAGGTAAAACTAAATCTCTGTCATCAGCTGAACACTTTCATGCTGTGTTTGTTCTAAATTCAGAGAACAAGTTAAAAGAAGTCAAATGTTTAGAAAACAGGGATCTACTGAGCCCTGAGGAGAGTTTCAGCTAAAATGAATCAAAGTTAAAGGATTTTCTGCAGAGCATCAATAAGTTCCAACATTTTGACCAAAACTAATTTTAATTGAAGCTGTTCAGGCCAAGAGAGACGCTCATAAACAAAACACACACACACACACACACACACACACACACACACACACACACACACACACACACACACACACACACACACACACACACACACACACACACACACACACACACACACAGGTAAACTCAGCTGGTTTCCTGTAAATGCAGAGGGGAGGAGCTACACTGATCAGGTGATCCAGGTGAGAACAGGAAGAGACCTGAAGCTGAAAGAGTTCAGTCAGACTCCATTTAGAGTCCCAGAGCAGAAGGAGGAGAACTGAAGGCTGAGGCAGGGTGAGTGTTAATCCAACATTTTATTATGTTACTGTCAAAGTCTCTGAGGCAGTTTTCTCCCTGTGGACTGGAGAGGAAAGAAACCTTAGAGGAACTCAACATTTTGATTCATCTGTGGACACAAAGTCCTGATTAGCTCAATAAAACACATTAAACCTGCAGTAACCATGGAAACAAGCACAGATTTAAAGGGAAGTGTAGCGTTCTGGCTGTTTTATTTTACTGTATAATGTGTGTGTGTGTGTGTGTGTGTGTGTGTGTGTGTGTGTGTGTGTGTGTGTGTGTGTGTGTGTGTGTGTGTGTGTTACTTCCTGTTCTCTTGTGACTCTTGAACAAACCTGTTTCTCTTGATTCTTGTGTTCTGAGCTCACAGTCACTGTTTTAACTCTTGGACTCCAGAAGTTTACTGATCAGTGACAGCGGGTTTAGTTTTACAGGGATTTATTATTATAGTGTCAAAATTGTGTCAGACACTTCAGGTTCACCTGACAAAATAAGCTGTAAAACGTTTTGACTAAATATTAACATATTGTGTTCATAGACTAAGAACTGAGTTCTTTAAGATAACTGCTGCACCAACATTAAACCTGTAACATTTAAAAGCTGAAACCCAGCTGCAAAGCTAAAATATTTTCAACTTAAACTGTAACTGAAACATCTGACTAGTGGAGGAGGACTGCTCAACTGTTTTGAACACTGAAAAGGTAAAATGGGATTTAAATAAAATAGGCTAGCAGAAACTACTATGAATAAAAGTGCCTCATGAACTGAATTTAATCTAATATCAGTCAGTACTAAAGACTGAAAACAGAAAAGTGACCTGTGAGTTTCTTCTTTCCATATTCCATAAGATAAACCTGCTGTGGGACGGGTCAGTGAAGGCATCTTGTAATTTCATCACATGTAAAAATAAATGATCTAAATTACAACTGCATTTGTTTGTGATATTTAGTCTGCTTCGTTCTCACGCAGTGCAGCCTCAGCTAAACATCTGAAGCTTGTTGCCTCTCTCACCTCTGCTCTCTGTGTTGGTGCCTGTTTTTCTCTTCTGACCTTGAACCTCAGCCTCAGGACTCACGTCAGCTCGTCTGAACTGAAGGAAATAAAATGTTTGACGGTTGAAAACAGGTTGAGGCAGCTGAGACAAAAGATGTTGCATGGATATGTGCCAAGGTATTTAAAAAATGATGTTCAGCTTGTCAGGAATCCTCCTGGCTTCTCTACCAGAGGCAGCGACACTGACATTGAACCTCGTAGATTTAAGACCTGTTCAGGACAAAACACCTTCTTGTCCACTGCAGCTTTGGAATGAAACAAACTTCCAGCTGAGATAAAAACAAGCCGTCAGATTGTTGTTTTAATCCAGCATGTGGTGAAGGGTTATTTAAAACTATTTAGAGGGAGTTGTTTGGAGTATTCTTTATTAATATAATAATGTGTGGCTCCTTGTGAGGGGACCCCAGGTGTATATGCATGTATTTGTGTTTTTATTTCTGCATATTTGTATCAGGATGTTTTAGGTTTTTTATCTAAAGACTGTAAAAGGGTTGATTGTACAGGGTACCTGAAGTCAGCTGTAGGTCTGCCATCTTTATCAGACTGCAGGAGGACCACAGTCTTAACTGTCTTGTGTTATCCTCGGCAGTTTGGAAGAAGGTGTTTTGTCACTGTGGATGACATTTTTATTTACAGTTACAGAGTGTAGATGCAGCAGGAGGAAAGTTTTATTTTAGTTTCCAGGTGTAATGAGACAAAGTGAAGGACTCTGACAGGCTGTGAAGATGCTCTTCAGGCTCTGTGTCTGATTATGAACTCTGAGATCAACCAGCCCTCCTCTCTCTAGCAGCAGCACCTGTCTGCAGTCTGTTAGTCTGCTATCAGAGACACAGGACTGTTTTTACAGTCCAACAGCTTCAGGTAACATCAGTCAGTCCAGCAGGATGCAGAGTGAGCAGATACAGGCTGTCAGTAATAATAATTATTCATTAATCCAAAGCAGCTTACAGCTGCTCGATATGTCAGAGGTCGCCTCTGGACCTACGAGGGGTTAAGAGAGGTTCAGGGAAACATTGGTGGATGTCATAGTGGGAATCTCGTGTGTCTTATCCACTGTACCATCACCACCCCAGACCTCCTCAGTATGGAGAAAAGGTCTGGCATTAATTAATCGCTGCTGATTGGGTAACACCTTGGACTCGCCCACCAAATGGGAGCAAACAGACCTTGAAGCCCGCTGCAAAACATTTAGTGAGAAATATTTTGTTCAGTCAGGAAACTGCAGCAAAGCGGTGCCAAACATTTTGAGACTGAACTCAGCTGGTTTCCTGTAGATGCAGAAGGGAGGAGCTACACTGATCAGGTGATCCAGGAGAGAACAGGTAGGAACCTGAAGCTGAAAGAGTTCAGTCAGTTCAGACTCCATTTAGAGTCCCAGAGCAGAAGGATTCACTTTATTGGCCTGAACGTCAGAAAAACTATATCCCCAAAACTTCAAAGATAATCTAAAAAATAATTACATTCATAAAGTTAGTTAAATAAATAAAACAGTAAACATGTGTGTCTGTGTGTGTACCACAGGTCAGTAGTATTTTATGTTTAGGATCAATAATGAAAGAACAATATATTAATAAATAAACACGAGTATCAAATGTGAAATGTAAAAAACAAACAAACTATCTCTCTCTAGATATGTTAAAGTTAACTCCGCAGTTGTTTCTCCTGGTTCTTGTGTTCTGAGCTCAGCGTTACTCTTTTACCTCTCAGACTGACTGAAGTCCAGAAGATGAGCACAGAGAAGAAGGAAGAGGAGGACGGAGCAGAGTCCTCAGGATCCAGCTGTCTGTCTATGAAGAGTGACTGGTCCAGTGATCAACCTCCATTCTTCAGTCCTGAACCTGGACCCTCAGACACAAAGTAAGAGACTGTTTTTACTGTAAACTGACCTGATGGAAGATGATGCATTGAGGATGAAGACAAAATGTTCTGCTAACAGATTTATATTCCTGATGCAGAACTATTAGTGCAGATACTGTTTCAAACTAAGATGGATCTGATTTGATTTCTGGAGCAAAACACCTGAGAACCTCCATTTCAGAATTTACACTTCAAGAACATCTTCATATATTTTTGCCCTCACGTTGACGTCACTGTAAAGATTTAGAAGGATTCAGAATCTGAAAGAATCTGCTTCAAATGTGTCCTTCATTTTCTCCTATTTGTCCTCTAAACACTGAGCTGTTTGGCTCTTCCTCAGATCAGCTGTTCTGATCCACCAGATGCATCTTGAATCACTTCAGATCATAACTGTGCAACATGTGGTGAAAAAGCATTTGTAGTTCAGCTTTGCTCACCTTGATGAACACTTTGCTTTGAATCATTAGTAAGTGGAGCTTTGAGCTCAGATTCTCTCCACCATATATTGTTCCTAAAGGTGAAGAACAAACATCCACGGGCAGCACTGATGGAAAAGTTAGCAGTGGATGGAAAAAGGGCAGAAAATTGGACCACTTCTCTTTTTACAATATTTGAATAGTTTTCATGTGATAGTTGACAGTAGAGAGTGACAGGAAACAGAACGACATCCAAACAAGGCTCCGTGTGGACTTGAACCTGTGACACCGCTGTTACATGCTGTGTGTTTAGACCACTTCTAAGCTCAGTTCAAAGCTAACTAACTCAAGCTAAGCTGCCCAGAGTGACTGTAAAACAGTGAAGGACATAATCAGCTCTCTTTAATGGAGGCTTTTACTGTGAAGGAGCTGCAGGAAGTGTTGAGTTTGTGTTAATAACAAACTGCAGGCAGATCACTAAATGTTTAATCAGACAGTCAGACAGGAAAAGCAGTTAATTAGTGTTTCTGAGAGCAGGAGAGCTGAAATAAAAGGAACAATCATCTTCATTACTGACTGAAAGCTGAATTCAAACAGAAAAGTAACGACACTTTTACTCTGTGACCATCTGAGCTTCTACACAGTGTCGGACACATCTGGAGATTTTTCAACAACAAGCAACAAATCATTTTAGTTCTAAAGAAATGTCTTCACAGAGAGAGGAAGAGGAGTCCTGTTCCTGTGGAGGAGCAGCCGTCCTGCTGTGCTTTGTGTCAGGACGTCCTGAAGGATCCAGTCTCTACCAGCTGTGGACACTGGTTCTGCAGACGGTGCATCACCTCATACTGGGACCAGTCTGCTTCATCAGGACACTCCTCCTGTCCCCAGTGTGGAGACAGATCCAGAACCAGAGCTGGACTGCAGACAGCCAGTCAGAGCAGCTCTGTACAAAGTAAGACTGGACATCTGTCTGCTTCTTCAGATATTCTGATATTGATGGTTTTTATATTAGTAATGAAAATAATCAGCACAGATTCTTTGTTTTATCTCACATTGTTTCTCTTCTTTAGTGAGCGGTGGTCTGCAGGAGGTTTTAGATGAACATAAGATCAGTCTGAGGAGGAGATGTGAACGTGTGACTGAAGGAAGTGATGAAACAGGAAGTGGAACCCTCCTCAACAGGATCTACACTGAGCTCTACATCACAGAGGGACAGAGTGAAGAGGTTAATACCCAGCATGAGGTGAGGCAGCTTGAGACAGCTTCCAAGAAGAAGACCCTCCATGACACTCCAATCAGGTGCCAGGACATCTTTAAAGCCTTACCTGGCCAACAGACAGCCATCAGAGTGGTTCTGACCAACGGCGTCGCTGGCGTTGGAAAAACCTTCTCGGTGCAGAAGTTCACTCTGGACTGGGCAGAGGGCTCGGAAAACCAAGATGTCGGTCTGCTGGTTCTGCTCTCGTTCAGGGAGCTGAACTTGATCAAAGATGAGCGGCACAGTCTCCTCACGCTGCTCCATGTTTTCCATCCAACATTACAGAAGGTCCCAGCAGAGAAGCTCGCCGTCTGGAAACTGTTGTTCATCTTTGACGGCCTGGATGAAAGCAGACTTTCATTGGATTTCCACAACAGTGAGGTTGTGTCTGATGTCACACAGAAGTCATCAGTCAACCTGCTGCTGACAAACCTCATCGAGGGGAATCTGCTTCCCTCTGCTCTCGTCTGGATAACTTCCCGACCTGCGGCGGCCAATCGGATCCCTCCTTCGTGTGTCGGCAGGGTAACGGAAGTACGAGGTTTCACTGACGCCCAGAAGGAGGAGTACTTCAGGAGGAGAGTCAGTGATGAAGAGATGTCCAGCAGAATCATCTCACACATCAAGACCTCCAGGAGCCTCCACATCATGTGTCTAATCCCAGTCTTCTGCTGGATCACTGCTACAGTTCTGGAGCACATGTTGACTACAGAGCAGAGAGGAGAGCTGCCCAAGACCCTGACTGACCTGTACTCACACTTCCTGCTGGTTCAGATAAAGAGGAAGAAGCAGAAGTACGATGAGGGACATGAGACGAGTCCACAGGAGCTGACGGAGGCTGACAGGGAGGTTCTTCTGAAGCTGGGGAGGTTGGCGTTTGAACAGCTGGAGAAAGGAAACATCATGTTCTACCAAGAAGACCTGGAGCAGTGTGGTCTTGATGTCACAGAGGCCTCGGTGTACTCAGGAGTTTGTACAGAGATCTTCAAAAGAGAGAGTGTGATCTTCCAGAAAACAGTCTACTGCTTTGTTCATCTGAGCGTTCAGGAGTTTCTGGCTGCAGTCTACATGTTCCACTGTTACACCAGCAGGAACTCAGAGGTACTGGAGGACTTCCTGGGGAAAGACTGGAAACAGAAAGACTCAAACTCTTTATTCAAGAAGGTGTCAATGTTATTTGCAATCAACCCATCCCTGGATGTCTTCCTGAGGAGCGCCATGGAGAAATCCCTCGACAGTAAAAATGGCCACCTGGACCTGTTTGTTCGCTTCCTTCATGGCCTCTCTCTGGAGTCCAACCAGAGACTCTTAGGAGGCCTGCTAGGTCGGACAGACAACAGTCCAGAAATCATCCAGAGAGCCATCAACAACCTGAAGGAGATGAACAGTGATGGGATCTCTCCTGACAGAAGCATCAACATCTTCCACTGTCTGACGGAGATGAACGACCACTCAGTACATCAGGAGATCCAAGAGTTCCTGAAGTCAGAGAACAGATCAGAGAAGGAACTCTCTGAGATCCACTGCTCAGCTCTGGCCTACATGCTGCAGATGTCAGAGGAGGTTCTGGATGAGTTGGAGCTGAGGAAGTACAACACATCAGAGGAGGGACGACTGAGACTGATTCCAGTCGTGAGGAACTGCAGGAAGGCTCGGTAAGTCCAGAGTGATTACCATTGTAAATCAGTGTGGATTAGTAGTTTAGTTCTTCAAATATAAAAACCTTAATGTTCTCATAATTCTTAAAGTGTTCCACTTTGCTTATTACAAATATTTATATCAGTTGTATTTTGTCTCATATGTTCTTGAGGTGTTATAAAGGGTTAGGATTTTTCAGTTGGTTGTATTTTTTTGCTGTCAAGTTAATGAACTTCGTAGTCATTGGCTGTTAAAAGTCACATTGATTGTTACATGACAAGTTCAGCCATTTTCCTGTAAATAAGCTAGAAAACAGCGTGATCTTGCTCCATCTGTGTGATCTTTGGGGAAGCTTTGTTTGTGAGTTACTCAAGAGTGTTTGCTATCTGGTGATGTGTGCCTCACTATGCGCTCAGGTGCCAGAATACATGTTCCATGTGAAATAAACTTCGTTGAAACATACTTCGTTGTGGTTTGGAAGTTCTCTGGTGAACTTGCGGAGGATATGTCCATAGACATGCGACTGTGGCAGAGGCTTCACCATGCCAGAGGCCCCTGAGTGGCCGGCAAATTTTCACTTTGTCACTGTCCGTATCATCTGTCATGTACACCAAAATATTTAATTATTCATCTAATATTGTCCAATGTTTGTTTCTCTTCTGTGGACAGCAGCAGGTATGAAAGAGAGATCACCTTTCACAATTGTTGTTAATTGTTCACCGAGTTGTAAAAAGTTTTGAAGAGCAAATGTTACATTTATACAGTTTCCAAATACATTTTTGTAATCTATGTGTCTTAACAGACTTTATGACTGTGGACTCTCAGAGACTCACTGTGTCCTTGTGGCCTCAGCTCTAAAGTCCAACCCCTCCCATCTGAGAGAGCTGGACCTGAGTCAGAACTACAGCCTTCAAGATTTAGGACTGAAGCTGCTTTCTGCTGGACTGGAGAGTCCAAACAGTAGACTGGAGACTCTGAGGTAAGTTCACTGACTGTAGCTTATGTATTATTTTTGTACATATTCAATTGAAATCTGACAGAGGTATTACATTCTTGGTTCATAACGTTTAGGATTTGTCTGAGCACTCCTTTCTTTCCAAATGACGGAACATTTTTGAAATTATAAAATGGCTGAGTAACGGGGAGTAGAGATGGAAACAGGCTGCAGACAGTTTGAGCTTCTGTGTAAACAGAGAGAGATAGGTTAGATAAAGAATTTGTGCAAAGCTCAATAATGGTGAAGTTAGTGTAGCGCCCCCTAGTTCTCACCAGTACTATAAAACAATTAGCTTGCCGTATAGACGGGTTTCTTGTATACAAACACTACTGGATGCACGCGCAGCCAGGGAGCAAAACACCTGAGAACCTCCATTTCAGAATTTACACTTCAAGAACATCTTCATATATTTTTGCCCTCACGTTGACGTCACTGTAAAGATTTAGAAGGATTCAGAATCTGAAAGAATCTGCTTCAAATGTGTCCTTCATTTTCTCCTATTGGTCCTCTAAACACTGAGCTGTTTGGCTCTTCCTCAGATCAGCTGTTCTGATCCACCAGATGCATCTTGAATCACTTCAGATCATAATTGTGCAACATGTGGTGAAAAAGCATTTGTAGTTCAGCTTTGCTCACCTTGATGAACACTTTGCTTTGAATCATTAGTAAGTGGAGCTTTGAGCTCAGATTCTCTCCACCATATATTGTTCCTAAAGGTGAAGAACAAACATCCACGGGCAGCACTGATGGAAAAGTTAGCAGTGGATGGAAAAAGGGCAGAAAATTGGACCACTTCTCTTTTTACAATATTTGAATAGTTTTCATGTGATAGTTGACAGTAGAGAGTGACAGGAAACAGAATGACATCCAAACAAGGCTCCGTGTGGACTTGAACCTGTGACACCGCTGTTACATGCTGTGTGTTTAGACCACTTCTAAGCTCAGTTCAAAGCTAACTAACTCAAGCTAAGCTGCCCAGAGTGACTGTAAAACAGTGAAGGACATAATCAGCTCTCTTTAATGGAGGCTTTTACTGTGAAGGAGCTGCAGGAAGTGTTGAGTTTGTGTTAATAACAAACTGCAGGCAGATCACTAAATGTTTAATCAGACAGTCAGACAGGAAAAGCAGTTAATTAGTGTTTCTGAGAGCAGGAGAGCTGAAATAAAAGGAACAATCATCTTCATTACTGACTGAAAGCTGAATTCAAACAGAAAAGTAACGACACTTTTACTGTTCTCTGTGACCATCTGAGCTTCTACACAGTGTCGGACACATCTGGAGATTTTTCAACAACAAGCAACAAATCATTTGAGTTCTAAAGAAATGTCTTCACAGAGAGAGGAAGAGGAGTCCTGTTCCTGTGGAGGAGCAGCCGTCCTGCTGTGCTTTGTGTCAGGACGTCCTGAAGGATCCAGTCTCTGTCTGCAGACAGTGCATCACCTCATACTGGGACCAGTCTGCTTCATCAGGACACTCCTCCTGTCCCCAGTGTGGAGACAGATTCAGAACCAGAGCTGGACTGCAGACAGCCAGTCAGAGCAGCTCTGTACAAAGTAAGACTGGACATCTGTCTGCTTCTTCAGATATTCTGATATTGATGGTTTTTATATTAGTAATGAAAATAATCAGCACAGATTCTTTGTTTTATCTCACATTGTTTCTCTTCTTTAGTGAGCGGTGGTCTGCAGGAGGTTTTAGATGAACATAAGATCAGTCTGAGGAGGAGATGTGAACGTGTGACTGAAGGAAGTGATGAAACAGGAAGTGGAACCCTCCTCAACAGGATCTACACTGAGCTCTACATCACAGAGGGACAGAGTGAAGAGGTTAATACCCAGCATGAGGTGAGGCAGCTTGAGACAGCTTCCAAGAAGAAGACCCTCCATGACACTCCAATCAGGTGCCAGGACATCTTTAAAGTCTTACCTGGCCAACAGAGAGCCATCAGAGTGGTTCTGACCAACGGCGTCGCTGGCGTTGGAAAAACCTTCTCGGTGCAGAAGTTCACTCTGGACTGGGCAGAGGGCTCGGAAAACCAAGATGTCGGTCTGCTGGTTCTGCTCTCGTTCAGGGAGCTGAACTTGATCAAAGATGAGCGGCACAGTCTCCTCACGCTGCTCCATGTTTTCCATCCAACATTACAGAAGGTCCCAGCAGAGAAGCTCGCCGTCTGGAAACTGTTGTTCATCTTTGACGGCCTGGATGAAAGCAGACTTTCATTGGATTTCCACAACAGTGAGGTTGTGTCTGATGTCACACAGAAGTCATCAGTCAACCTGCTGCTGACAAACCTCATCGAGGGGAATCTGCTTCCCTCGGCTCTCGTCTGGATAACTTCCCGACCTGCGGCGGCCAATCGGATCCCTCCTTCGTGTGTCGGCAGGGTAACGGAAGTACGAGGCTTCACTGACGCCCAGAAGGAGGAGTACTTCAGGAGGAGAGTCAGTGATGAAGAGATGTCCAGCAGAATCATCTCACACATCAAGACCTCCAGGAGCCTCCACATCATGTGTCTAATCCCAGTCTTCTGCTGGATCACTGCTACAGTTCTGGAGCACATGTTGACTACAGAGCAGAGAGGAGAGCTGCCCAAGACCCTGACTGACCTGTACTCACACTTCCTGCTGGTTCAGATAAAGAGGAAGAAGCAGAAGTACGATGAGGGACATGAGACGAGTCCACAGGAGCTGACGGAGGCTGACAGGGAGGTTCTTCTGAAGCTGGGGAGGTTGGCGTTTGAACAGCTGGAGAAAGGAAACATCATGTTCTACCAAGAAGACCTGGAGCAGTGTGGTCTTGATGTCACAGAGGCCTCGGTGTACTCAGGAGTTTGTACAGAGATCTTCAAAAGAGAGAGTGTGATCTTCCAGAAAACAGTCTACTGCTTTGTTCATCTGAGCGTTCAGGAGTTTCTGGCTGCAGTCTACATGTTCCACTGTTACACCAGCAGGAACTCAGAGGTACTGGAGGACTTCCTGGGGAAAGACTGGAAACAGAAAGACTCAAACTCTTTATTCAAGAAGGTGTCAATGTTATTTGCAATCAACCCATCCCTGGATGTCTTCCTGAGGAGCGCCATGGAGAAATCCCTCGACAGTAAAAATGGCCACCTGGACCTGTTTGTTCGCTTCCTTCATGGCCTCTCTCTGGAGTCCAACCAGAGACTCTTAGGAGGCCTGCTGGGTCAGACAGACAACAGTCCAGAAATCATCCAGAGAGCCATCAACAACCTGAAGGAGATGAACAGTGATGGGATCTCTCCTGACAGAAGCATCAACATCTTCCACTGTCTGACGGAGATGAACGACCACTCAGTACATCAGGAGATCCAAGAGTTCCTGAAGTCAGAGAACAGATCAGAGAAGGAACTCTCTGAGATCCACTGCTCAGCTCTGGCCTACATGCTGCAGATGTCAGAGGAGGTTCTGGATGAGTTGGAGCTGAGGAAGTACAACACATCAGAGGAGGGACGACTGAGACTGATTCCAGTCGTGAGGAACTGCAGGAAGGCTCGGTAAGTCCAGAGTGATTACCATTGTAAATCAGTGTGGATTAGTAGTTTAGTTCTTCAAATATAAAAACCTTAATGTTCTCATAATTCTTAAAGTGTTCCACTTTGCTTATTACAAATATTTATATCAGTTGTATTTTGTCTCATATGTTCTTGAGGTGTTATAAAGGGTTAGGATTTTTCAGTTGGTTGTATTTTTTTGTCAAGCTGTCAAGTTAATGAACTTCGTAGTCATTGGCTGTTAAAAGTCACATTGATTGTTACATGACAAGTTCAGCCATTTTCCTGTAAATAAGCTAGAAAACAGCGTGATCTTGCTCCATCTGTGTGATCTTTGGGGAAGCTTTGTTTGTGAGTTACTCAAGAGTGTTTGCTATCTGGTGATGTGTGCCTCACTATGCGCTCAGGTGCCAGAATACATGTTCCATGTGAAATAAACTTCGTTGAAACATACTTCGTTGTGGTTTGGAAGTTCTCTGGTGAACTTGCGGAGGATATGTCCATAGACATGCGACTGTGGCAGAGGCTTCACCATGCCAGAGGCCCCTGAGTGGCCGGCAAATTTTCACTTTGTCACTGTCCGTATCATCTGTCATGTACACCAAAATATTTAATTATTCATCTAATATTGTCCAATGTTTGTTTCTCTTCTGTGGACAGCAGCAGGTATGAAAGAGAGATCACCTTTCACAATTGTTGTTAATTGTTCACCGAGTTGTAAAAAGTTTTGAAGAGCAAATGTTACATTTATACAGTTTCCAAATACATTTTTGTAATCTATGTGTCTTAACAGACTTTATGACTGTGGACTCTCAGAGACTCACTGTGTCCTTGTGGCCTCAGCTCTAAAGTCCAACCCCTCCCATCTGAGAGAGCTGGACCTGAGTCAGAACTACAGCCTTCAAGATTTAGGACTGAAGCTGCTTTCTGCTGGACTGGAGAGTCCAAACAGTAGACTGGAGACTCTGAGGTAAGTTCACTGACTGTAGCTTATGTATTATTTTTGTACATATTCAATTGAAATCTGACAGAGGTATTACATTCTTGGTTCATAACGTTTAGGATTTGTCTGAGCACTCCTTTCTTTCCAAATGACGGAACATTTTTGAAATTATAAAATGGCTGAGTAACGGGGAGTAGAGATGGAAACAGGCTGCAGACAGTTTGAGCTTCTGTGTAAACAGAGAGAGATAGGTTAGATAAAGAATTTGTGCAAAGCTCAATAATGGTGAAGTTAGTGTAGCGCCCCCTAGTTCTCACCAGTACTATAAAACAATTAGCTTGCCGTATAGACGGGTTTCTTGTATACAAACACTACTGGATGCACGCGCAGCCAGGGAGCAAAAGTGATTCGGTAGCCTGTCAGAAGACTGTAGTCAACTGCTGTAATCAATGTAGATTACACATTGTTTGTAAATTCTTGTTGACTTAATAATAAACTGCCATTTCAGAGTTGGATCCTTTTGTTTGTGTTTCATTTCACATATTAATATAACATGTGCGACCACGCTGCACGTCAGTGAAACCAGACGTAATTTTGTTTAAGTGGGTTGCTAGCCAAAAAGCTAAAGGAATAACGAGGGAGAGAGGCATTCTTTCCACTGCTGTAAGTACTGCCATTAGGCCTAACTTAGCTGTGTCACACTAAGAGATGCAAAGAACATTGTCTTCCTTAAAGGTTGTGAGACCAGCAAAAAGCTTTAAACTGCGAACAGTTTTGTATTGAAGCATCTGCTAAGATATGTGAAGCTTAGCCTGTAGAAAGAAACTAATGTTACTGCCAGTGAAGCATCCACTTGACAGGACAGAATGGCGTTAATCAACGTTTTGTGTTTTGTAAAAGCGCTGAATGCTTCTCTTATAAATGCGTGGCGTTAAAAAATGTTGTATGTTGTATGCTAAAAATCATCCTCATTGATGCTGTTGAATACGCGATCAGGAGGGACCTGCTTTGTTTTTTTATTATTTTTACATTACATTACATTTACTCATTTGGCAGACGCTTTTATCCAAAGCGACTTACATTTGAGGAACAACATAAAAGCATCAACAGAGCATCAACTACAGATCTACAACTGACAATACATACTAGTAAGAGCAGCAATAAATTCTAGTAAGAGCTCACAGTACATATCACATAAATGGGGTAGATACCTAGGGAAGGAAGTAAGAGTTAACAAAAAGTGCCATCAATACAAGATCATTGTAGGGGATAGAAGAAGAAGAGCACAGGAAGTGCATGTTAGAGGTTAGGAGTTAGAGGTGTTATAAGAGGAAGTGTTCTCAGAAGAGATGAGTTTTCAAGAGCTTCTTGAAGTTATAGAGGGACCCCCTGCTCTGATGGCGTGTGGTAGCTTGTTCCACCATCGTGGTGTCATAGATGAGAATAGCCGGGACTGGGATTGCTTTGTGTGAAGGGACCGAGAAGGAACGTAAGTTTGTATTATCGAGTTTAGGTCACTGAGTAATGGAGTGACATGAGTCCTTTTGGGCTGATCAAAAACCAGACACACTGCTGCGTTCTGAACCATTTGTAAGGGTTTCACCGCACAAGCTGGGAGACCTGCTAGGAGGGCTTTGCAATAGTCGATGCGAGAGATAACCATGGCCTGTACCAGAAGCTGGGTGGCGTACTGAGTGAGGTAGGGCCTGATTTTCCTTATGTTGTATAGAGAAAAGCGGCATGACTGAGAGACAGTAGCAACATGGTCTGAAAAGGACAGCTGGTCATCAATCATGACACCCAAGTTTCTCACCACCTTGGTTGGAGTGATGGTTGCTGAGTCAATTTGTAGTTTGATGTTATGGTGGATAGATTGTTGGCTGGAATGACCAAGAGTTCAGTCTTAGAGAGGTTTAGTTGAAGGTCAAGAGCCTTCATCCATGCAGATATGTCTGATAGACAGTCCGTGATCCGCGCCGAGACAGTGGGATCGCCTGGCGGGAAGGATAGGTAGAGTTGCGTGTCATCTGCGTAGCAGTGGTAAGAGAAGCCGTGTGAGCGTATGATTGGCCCCAGTGAGGTGGTGTTAATTGAGAAGAGAAGGGGCCCAAGCACTGAGCCTTGGGGTACCCCTGTGGAGAGGCAGTGGGAGGAGGATAATTGTCCTTGCCGCAAAACATTGTAGGAACGCCCTGAGAGGTAGGATTCAAACCACAGGAGTGCTTTACTCGAGATGTCCATTGCTGAGAGAGCGGATAGCAGGATCCTGTGGCTGACTGTGTCAAAGGCAGCTGATAGGTCAAGCAGGATCAGAACCGAGGACTGGGCTGCAGCTTTAGCTGACCTTAGGGCTTCTGTTACAGACAGAAGAGCCGTTTCAGTAGAGTGGGCACTCTTAAAACCAGACTGATATGGATCTAGGAGGTCATTCCCTGAGAGGAATTCTGAGACCTGTTTGAATACTGCCCGTTCAATAGTTTTGGATAAAAAAGGTAGAAGAGACACTGGTCGATAGTTCCCAACTTGAGTTGGGTCAAGCCTCCACTTTGCCTGTGAAGAAGGCAGCAAAGGTATCAGCAGACAAGTTTGTGGGTGGTGGAGGTGGAGGAGGATTTAGTAGCGCTTTAAAAGTGGAAAATAATTTCCTTGAGTCAATGGCACTGCTTATTCTGTCATTATAAAATGCAGTTTTGGCAGCACTGATGCTTGTTGAGAACGAGGATAGGAGCAATTGGTAGCCTTTAAGGTCGGCGGGGTCTTTGGTTTTTTGCCATTTTCTTTCAGCCGCTCTGAGATCAGTAAGGAGCCCACGGATGGTATCAGTTAGCCACGGGTGGGGCTGGTTTGGGCGAGCAGGCTTGGTGGATAGAGGACACAGGCTATCCAGGCACAAGCTTGGTGTAGAGCACAGAGATTGTGTGGCATCATTGACCTCAAGTGAGGAAAATGTGTTGAGGGAGGGTAGAGCGGAAGCTACCACTGAGGCAAAGTGAGCGGGAGACAGGTTGCGGAGGTTGCGGCGGTGTGAGACCAATGGCGTTGGAAGAATGGGCTTTTCCTGTAGGCATACTGTGAACTGAATGAAATAGTGGTCTGACACATGTAGAGGTGTGACTGTTAGGCACTCTGTGGCACAGTTTCGGACAAGAACGAGGTCAAGCACCTTGCCAGCTTTGTGGGTCGGGGGGCTGAGAACCCGTGTTAGATCAAAGGACTGAATCAGAGACAGGAAGTCTGCTGAGTTTGAATTGTCTAAGTGAATGTTCATGTCACCGAGGACAAGTAGGGGACAGTCATGCTCTGGGATTGAAGACAGCAGTGTGTCTAGCTTCTCCTCAAAGCTACCCATTTGTCCTGGTGGACGGTATATGACAATCACAGAGACCTTTACCGGAGCGGACACAAAGACAGCATGGTATTCAAAGGAGGCATATTGATTTGGGGGTAGGAGCTGTGTGAATTTCCATTTGTTGGAAATTAAGAACCCAGTCCCACCCCCCTCCCAGATGGCCAGGGGGTGCCGGTGAAAGAGTAATTGGTGGACAGCGCAGCGGGGGTAGCAGAGTTTTCTGGTTTGATCCAGGTCTCAGTGTGTGCCAGCAGCCCAAGAGATAATGTCTTAGCATAGGCAGTGATAAAGTCAGCTTCGTTGACTGCCGACTGGCAGTTCCATGACCTAACAGACAAGTAAACAGATGTAGTGCCTGTTTTAAAGGCTTGAGGAGTGCCTGGTTTCTGTGCCTGATGGCATGATACCTCTTGCGTAGACCGGAGACAATAGGAATAGTGTGGTAGCACGTGGCTTGAGTGTTGCTGTAGCTGGCAGCTCTAGGTAAGTAGGTTTGCCTCCGAAAGGGAAGAAGCTTCTCATGTAGGCGGCCTTGCTCAGTGGACTCGCACAGGTAGACTCGCTGGTCTTTACCCAAGTAGGTCTTCCCACAAGGAGCCGATACCTACGCTCACACTTCAGTGGTAGGTTTCACTGAAGTACTGTGAGTCTAATTGCACACAGGTGTTAGGCATTAAGAATGATTGCACCCAGCTGAGATCGCCCTCCGGATTAACAAGACAAAAGCTTGGTTTCAGTGTGTGGGACACACACCAAGTTGTTTGAACTCGCTCAGCCGGCCTTCAGATTCTAGTGGATTGCTCAGTAAAAGTGCAAAGAAATAGCACCTCAAGAGTAGGAAAGTATTACCTCACTGCTGCAAACTCTTATTTGCCCCACGATTATCCAACGTAGGTTAAAGTCCTTGACTTTAAACTGATAACTATGACCTGGATGACTGAGAATCTTCACAGACATATTTTTAAATAGCCATAACCTATATGATCCAGCATCCTCTGGTCTGAGTGGCTGCAGTGTTTTCAGTTCGGCTGGTTGTTGACTCCTGAGGTAAATTATTGTTCCAGTAAAGTGGATTAAAGTGGATTCATTTCTAAAATGCGCTGCAGAACAGATTTCCCGTCACTTTTAAGGATTTTCATTTATTGAATTTTCATAAAGATGATATTTAGCAGCTATTTACATGTGCAATATGCCAGGTTTGTGCATGATATGAAATTAGATTAAATAGTATTTAAATGTGCGGAGAAATTTGTATTATTTGATAGCCGGAAGTATCCGTTGTTAATGAGGCTAGCTGCAGACGGGAAGAAGCTTTTTTTGTGGTGAGAGGTTTTGGTCCTGATGGACCGCAGCGTCCTGCCAGAGGGGAGAGTCTGAAACAGTTTGTGTCCAGGTTGGGAGGGATCAACTGTAATCTTTCCTGCTCACCTCAGATTCCTGGAGGCGTCAGAGTTTGGCTGTGAATCAGGGTTTGTCATTGTTATAACTCACTCTGGTGCGTGTTGGTATAAAGCTATCTTTACAGAAGCTGATGTAGGACGTCACAGCCTCTGTATGCTCAGATTGTAAGGAGCAGCCCTGAAAACATCCCAGTCAGTGCAGTCCAAGCACACCTGAAGATCCTATACAGCTTCACTGGTCCACTTCTTTGATGTCCTGACCAGAGCTTTAATTTCAGCCTGTGAGAAGGAATCAGATGGACCATCACGTGATCAGAGTGTCCCAGTGGAGCGCGTGTGATGGTGTGATAGGCACTGCTAACTGTGGTGTAGCAGTAATCCAAAGTGTTCCCTCTCTGGGTGGACACTTTATAAACTGTCTGTATTTGGGGAGTTCTTGGCTGAGATTTCCCCTGTTAAAGTCACCGAGAACAATAACAAGGGAGCCCGGGTTTGTCTGCTCCACACACAGTATCCGGCATGCGCTGTGCGTCCTGCACGTTGGCCTGCGGCGGAATGTAAACACCGACCAGAGTGAATGAAGCAAACTCACGGGGGGAGTAAAACGGTTTACAGTTAATGATAAAATATTCCAGATCAGGAAAACAATGCTGCTCAATCACTGTCACGTCAGTACACCAGCTATTGTTAATATAAAGCCATTGTTAATATAAAAACACAGACACCTCCAACTTTTGTTTTCCCTGGAAAGCGAGTCCGGAAAAAAGTTATGAAATTAATTAAATTAAAATACAGTTAAAAAAATAGATAATTAAAATCAACTGAAATCAGGAAAGGCTGTTCTTTGTATGTTTTAAGAAGAGCAGCCCTGATTTCCTCAGATAGCCTGTTCCAGAGCCTTGGAGCCTGCAAACGCTCTATCCCCTTTTGTTTTCAGGCGAGACTCTGGAACAGAAGAAGATAGTCTCAATGTCCTTAAAAGTTAACATTGATTGTATTTTTGATATATTTCTAAGCTGGAAAAAAATAATTGCAGAAGCTATGTGGTGTGCTAATCGAAACTTAAATTCCTCTCAAACCAAATGCCAAGATTCTTTGCAACCAGCCTGATATGATCCACGAGGGAACCAGCAGATGGTAGGATTTGATGAAAACCAGAGAGAGAAGGAGAGAAAGAGGGCAGGAGAGGAACAGAGAAAAAAAGAGAGGGATGGAAGGAGAGAGAGAGGGGAGGGAGGCAGCCTACACAATATACACACAGAGGTACAGACATTAAAGGTGATGTTGCTATAGACTGAATGAAAAATGGTACAGATATTTATAGCAGTGTTAATGGTAACAATCGTAATTTAATGATTATAATAACAATAATAACAATAAGACTAGTAACAATAGTCGTTGCAGCAGAGGGTGTCGAGCAGGAACACGGGGGCAGCAGGTGACCCGCAACCACAGATCCAGACTCCACAGCTCCAGAGCCAGAAAACCTGCAGGAAGTGATAGGAGGAGAGAGGAGAGGGACGAGAAAGCACAAGACTACCGTAACATGCAATAATGGGATGAGGTTGCATACAGAGGGAGAGAAAGTAGAGGAGAGAGGAGCTCAGTGCATCATGGGAAATCCCCCGGCAGTCTAGGCCTATAGCAGCATAACTAAGGGATGGTTCAGGACTCACCTGAGCCAGCCCTAACTATAAGCTTTATCAAAGAGGAAAGTCTTAAGCCTACTCTTAAATGTGGAGATGGTGTCTGCCTCCTGAACCCAAACTGGAACCTGGTTCCACAGGAGAGGAGCTTGATAGCTGAACGCTCTGGCTCCTAGTCTACTTTTGGAGACTCTAGGAACCACAAGTAACCCTGCATTCTGGGAGCGCAGTGCTCTGGTGGGGTAGTAAGGTACTATGAGCTCTTTAAGATAAGATGGTGCCTGACCAATAAGAGCTTTGTAGGTAAGAAGAATGATTTTAAATTCTATTCTGGATTTTACTGGAAGCCAATGCAAAGAAGCTAAAACAGGAGAAATGTGATCTCTTTTCCTGGTTCCTGTCAGAACAGGTGCTGCAGCATTCTGGATCAGCTGAAGAGTCTTAATGGACTTTTTCGAGCAGCCTGATAATAAGGAATTGCAGTAATCCAGCCTAGAAGTAACAAATGCATGGACTAGTTTTTCTGCATCATTTTTAGACAGGATGTTCCTGATTTTCACAATATTACGTAGGTGAAAAAGGCGGTCCTTGAAATTTGCTTAATGTGAGACTTAAACGACATGTCCTGATCAAAGATAACTCCAAGATTCCTCACAGTGGTGCTGGAGGCCAAGGCGATGACATCAAGGGATTTTTATCTCCATGATTTATTCTTTATTCAGATTGGAGAGCTGCAGTTTGTCAGAGATCAGCTGTGCTTCTCTGGCCTCAGCTCTGAAGTCCAACCCCTCCCATCTGAGAGAGCTGGAGCTGAACTACAACGAGCTGCAGGATTCAGGTGTGAAGCTGCTGTGTGGTTTTCTGGAGGATCCACGCTGCAGACTGGAGACTCTGAGGTCAGTTCACTGACTCTCTGTTACTACAGTAGATCTGATATGTTTAATTAACAATTGAACCTAATTTCTGTTCAGACATAACTTCCATCCATAAAGTTGTAAATATAAATATTTGTAAATATTTTCACGTTTCTTGTACTAAATTTAGTCTGCAGTCACAAAGACTTGTGTTTCTTAAAGAAACTGTAGAAAATGTCTGTTGTCAGTTGTTAAAGTAAATTAATGTTTGTAATTTTTGGTAAATATTAGTTCAGAGGATCTTCTGTATACAGATGTCACATCTGTATACAGAAGATCCTCTGAACTAATATTTGTTTTAAACTGATCAAGTTTACTTGTTGAAGTAGCAATATTTCTTTGCTTTCTGTTGGTTTCACTGTGTTTTCACAAATAATGTTGGATCATTGATATTGATCCTTCAGAACACACGCGCGCACACACAGAGACACAGACACAGACACAGACACAGACACAGACACACACACACACACACACACACACACACACAGACACAGACACAGACACAGACACAGATCAGATCAGATCAGATCATATTTCCCAATCCAGCTGTTTAAAGGATGAATATAGTTCTCTCCTCTAGTTCCAGACTGGCCTGAGATCAGCAGCATGTTATTGATCTGTGTTGACATGAATAGGTGTATGAATGTTGTGCTGACATTTGGATGATGTCTGTAGAAGGCTGACATTATGATGATCCACAATAACACAATGACAAAGTCCCTCTACTCATTTTAGAGAAAAGCTCATTGATTAGGACATAGTAATGTTGAGCTCCACATTTAAAACCTGAACACATCTGATTGGATTAGAAATGGATTTTTTCATTTCCATCATTTATTCTTTATTCAGATTGAGGCGGTGCAGTTTGTCAGAGATCAGCTGTGCTTCTCTGGCCTCAGCTCTGAAGTCCAACCCCTCCCATCTGAGAGAGCTGGACCTGAGTGACAACTACAAGCTGCAGGATTCAGGAGTGAAGCTGCTGTGTGGTTTTCTGGAGGATCCACACTGCAGACTGGAGACTCTGAGGTCAGACACCATTTTTTCCTTCTGTGCTGAGATTAATATGATGTGAAAGTTGTGGTGACACTTAAGTGCAGACATAAGGCTGATATTATACTGATCCACACTGAGTATCTTAAAGAGGTGGTATTATGGTTTTTGGCATTTTCCCTCTCCTTTATTGACTTAAATATTTTTTTTGTGCGTGTACTAGGTTTGCAAAGTGAAAAAGCCCGAAGTCCACCCCAAGGGAGTTTCCATCTCCCACAGAAAACTCTGCTCTGCCTGAAAACAGCTTGTTTGTAGTACAGCCTTTACTTCCCTTTCTTGTGATGTCACAATGAAAGTACGTGTCATAATGCGTGCTGAGCGACTAGTCCGACACGCCCTCAAAAACACCGGTGGAAAAACACTGAGCTGCAGCACACAGCTCTCCTCTCCCTTCCAAACACTAGCTACCCTCCAGGCAGTCAGTGGACATAAAGTTGTTCCTGTGATGTAGAGACAGAGCTCAGTTAAAACTTTATGGATGAAAGATACTTTTTTTACAGATTAATAACTCACCACTCTGAAACTCTTGCTCCAGTCCATGTTGCCAAGCTGGTCAGCAACATGTACAGCTGAATCGAAGCTGTTTACCGTCTTTTCGCTGACCCGCCCTTCTCTGCCTCTGATTGGCTAGTAGTCCTTAACTAGGAACTGCGCATGTGCAACTCCCAACAAAGATCATTTACAGACAAAATGTATCACTCCGTAGCTAAAACGAAGCCTTCAACACACAGGGTGAAAAGAGGAGCTGCAGCAATGTGCAGTATGACAAAAAATATGGTGTTTTTTTCAAAATGAAACCATGTAAACCTGTTCTGGTACAACCCCTAAATAGGATTTTGAACCTGAAAATGAGCAGAATACCTCCTCTTTAATGCTAAAGTCTATTTTCTTCTTCAGTGGTTTAGTCCATTGACAGTCAGAGCTATAACAAGAAACATCTCTCCAGGATAATTCACTCTGAAACTCTTAAACTCCTGATTTTCCACTTCTATTCCAAATCATGTTTTTAAATAAATGATAATAAAACTACATAAATACAATGAAGAAATATATAATCTCTATGTCAACTATCAGACAATAATATTTAGTATTTGTTTTTCCAACATTGTTATGAAGCTATATGATGCTTATACTGACTGACTAGTTTAAAGTGAAGAAGCTTAAATTTGACGACTCCACTATTCCTAAAATAAATATTGTAGATGTCTTATGTTCACATTTCCCCAAAGTTCATCCTGACATATTTGGCATCTTTGGAAATTTTAGGATCTTGAGTGGAATCTTAAATCAGTTTCTGTGGGTTTTTCTTTGTGTTTGGCTGCACAACATGGGTTTGTATAGATGGAGCCACTGGTGGAGCTGCAGAATTTAAGAGGTGAAGGAGCTCTTTTAACCTTGTTATGTCCCCGCTTGCTATGGGTAGGGGAGACATAAAAATAAACCAGTTGTTTTTGGTATGGGTGGAAAGATTATTTATTAAACAGAGGTGACAACAAAAGTCAAAACAAAAATTGGGCAAGTGGGTGCTGAGTAAAACTAAGAACAAAATATAACCAAAAGAGATCCCTCCTAAATGAGGGATTACTAAACTACCACTAAAAAGAATAAACAAAAACCTCTCTAGTCGTCGTTGAAAACAGAAACACAGGGAGCGCAGCACCCCTAAACCTAGTGTAACTAAAACAGAAGAAATTACTAACAGGTGTAAACAATATCAGTAATAAGCTTCACCCTGGCCCTATTCTGCAGACCAACACTTAGTTCAAAACAGGATGTGTTACCGACTCTCAGTAACACACTGACACAACTAACAAGGAAATGGTTTCCACTAAGGACGCGCACGCACACACAGGGTTCAGTATAATGACCAGCACGGAGGTAAACTACATGGGGAATGCCTCGACACAGCAGCAGACCAACCTATTTAAACCGGAGGAAGCTTGAAGGCGGTCTTGCAGGCAGCCCAGGGATTGGAGGAGGATTGTTGCGCCGCTCCAATCGGGGACCTCTGATGTGGGAGCAGCCAGAACTTCCTCAAAAAACAGCCAATCCCCCGCTGGAAATCTCACTGCGTCATTACCATGTAGGGAAAAACACAGCAGCAACAGTGACATACACAGACGGCTGCCCTAGGTAGCCGTAAAAACCTTTTTGTATTTTACAGTTTGAACCTGCATCCTGTTGGGTTCAGGTGTTTGGAGTTTCCATTTTCTAAACTTCTACATTCTTCTAATGTTACATCATTTATTCTTTATTCAGATTGAGGCGCTGCAGGTTGTCAGAGATCAGCTGTTCTTCTCTGGCCTCAGCTCTGAAGGCCAACCCCTCCCATCTGAGAGAGCTGGACCTGAATAATAACTACATCCTGCAGGATTCAGGAGTGAAGCTGCTGTGTGGTTTTCTGGAGAGTCCACACTGCAGACTGGAGACTCTGAGGTCAGTTCACTGACTCTGTTACTATCGTAGATCTGATCATTCATTGATATTGATCCTTCAGAACACACACACACACACACACACACACACACACACACACAGATCCGATCATATTTCCCAATCCAGCTGTTTAAAGGATCAATACAGTTTTTCTCCTCTAGTTCCAGACTGGTGTGAGATCAGCAGCATGTTATTGATCTGTGTTGACATGAATAGGTGTATGAATGTTGTGCTGACATTTGGATGATGTCTGTAGAAGGCTGACATTATGATGATCCACAATAACACAATGACAAAGTCCCTCTACTCATTTTAGGGAAAAGCTCATTGATTAGGACATAGTAATGTTGAGCTCCACATTTAAAACCTGAACACATCTGATTGGATTAGAAATGGATTTTTTCATTTCCATCATTTATTCTTTATTCAGATTGAGGCGGTGCAGTTTGTCAGAGATCAGCTGTGCTTCTCTGGCCTCAGCTCTGAAGTCCAACCCCTCCCATCTGAGAGAGCTGGACCTGAGTGACAACGAGCTGCAGGATTCAGGAGTGAAGCAGCTGTCTGATCTGAAGGAGAGTCCACACTGCAGACTGGAGACTCTGAGGTCAGGAGAGGGTCCAATTAAATTCAATTTTATTTATATAGCACCAAATCACAAAAACAGTAATCTCATAGCGCTTTTCATAAAAGAGCAGGTCTAGACCGTACTCTATGAGGGGGGGCAAGAGAGGAACAGAGAGAAAGAGAGAGAGGGGAGGGAGGCAGCCTACACAATATACACACAGAGGTACAGACAGTAAAGGTAATGTTGCTATAGACTAAATGAAAAATGGTACAGATATTTACAGAAGTGTTAATGATATTAATCGTAATGATTATAATAATAATAGGACTAGCAACAATAGTCGTTGCAGCAGAGGGTGTCGAGCAGGAACACGGGGGCAGCAGGTGACCCGCAACCACAGATCCAGACTCCACAGCTCCAGAGCCAGAAAACCTGCAGGAAGTGATAGGAGAGAGGAGAGAGACGAGAAAGCACAAGACTACCAGAAAGGGGAGAAGTTGTGTTAGTAACATGCAATAATGGGATGAGGTTGCATACAGAGGGAGAGAAAGTAGAGGAGAGAGGAGCTCAGTGCATCATGGGAAATCCCCCGGCAGTCTAGGCCTATAGCAGCATAACTAAGGGGTGGTTCAGGACTACCTGAGCCAGCCCTAACTATAAGCTTTATCAAAGAGGAAAGTCTTAAGCCTACTCTTAAATGTGGAGATGGTGTCTGCCTCCTGAACCCAAACTGGAACCTGGTTCCACAGGAGAGGAGCTTGATAGCTGAACGCTCTGGCTCCTAGTCTACTTTTGGAGACTCTAGGAACCACAAGTAACCCTGCATTCTGGGAGCGCAGTGCTCTGGTGGGGTAGTAAGGTACTATGAGCTCTTTAAGATAAGATGGTGCCTGACCATTAAGAGCTTTGTAGGTAAGAAGAATGATTTTAAATTCTATTCTGGATTTTACTGGAAGCCAATGCAAAGAAGCTAAAACAGGAGAAATATGATCTCTTTTCCTGGTTCCTGTCAGAACACGTGCTGCAGCATTCTGGATCAGCTGAAGAGTCTTAATGGACTTTTTCGGGCAGCCTGGAAATAAGGAATTGCAGTAATCCAGCCAAGAAGTAACAAATGCATGGACTAGTTTTTCTGCATAATTTTTAGACAGGATGTTCCTGATTTTCACAATATTATGTAGGTGAAAAAAGGATGGTGCTGGAGGCCAGGGCGATGCCATCCAGGGAAACTATATCTTTAGATAATGCGTCACGGAGGTGCTTAGGCCCCAGAGCAATAACTTTTTTCAGAAGAGGTTTAATTACAGCTACTTTAAAGTACTGTGGTACATAGCCTGTTGATAGAGATAGATTGATCATATCTAGTATAGAGGTGCTTACTAAGGGTAAAACATCTTTAAGCAACCTAGTCGGGATGGGGTCTAAGAGGCAGGTTGATGGTTTAGATGAAGAAATTATTGAAGTTAGTTGGTAAAGATTGAGGGAAGCAAAACAGTCTAAACATATATCTGGTTCTACAGCTGTTTCTAAGGTTCCTGAGTTAAGAGATAATTTGGTGCCAGTTGAGGGCAGGTCTTGGTGAATTTTGTTTCTAATCGTTAGATTTTTATCATTAAAGAAGCTCATGAAATCGTAACTACTGAGAGCTATGGGAATACTTGGCTCAATAGAGCTGTGACTCTCTGTCAGCCTGGCTACAGTGCTGAAAAGAAACCTGGGGTTGTTCCTATTTTCCTCTATTAATAACGAGTAGTACGCTGCTCTGGCATTACGGAGGGCCTTCCTATAAGTTTTAAGACTATCTTGCCAAATTAAACGAGAATTTTCCAGTTTGGTGGAACGCCAATTCCTCTCAAGTTTCCGCGATATTTGCTTTAATTTGCGAGTTTCAGTGTTATACCATGGAGCTAACCGTCTTTGTTTTAGTAATTTCTTTTTTAGAGGGGCTACAGAGTCCAGTGTCATTCGCAGCGAGCCTGCAGCACTATCAACAAGATGATCGATGTGGGAGGGACTGAAACTAGCATAGGAGTCCTCCGTTACTTTGTGACTTGATAATGAATTTAGAGCTGATGGAATCGCATCCTTAAATTTAGCTATGGCACTATCAGACAGACATCTTGTATAGAAATTTTTGCCCAATGGCGTGTAGTTCAGCAATACAAACTCAAAAGTTATCAAACAGTGGTCGGACAAAGAGGGATTCTGTGGGAACACTATTAAATACCATACACCAGAACAAGGTCGAGGGTGTGGTTAAAACAGTGAGTCGGTTCATGAACACTCTGAGAGAAGCCGATGGAATCTAACAGAGAGATAAACGCAGTACTGAAGCTGTCATTCTCAACATCCACATGAATATTAAAATCCCCTACAATAATAACTTTGTCCGTTTTAAGGACTAAAGTTCACAAAAACTCTGCAAATTCTGATAAGAATTCAGAATACGGGCCAGGTGCTCGGTACACTATAACGAAGAGAATTGGTTGCAGTGATTTCCGACTTGGGTGCGAAAGACTAAGAACAAGGCTTTCAAATGAGTTATAGTTTAGTTTAGGTTTAGAGCTGATTAGTAGGCTAGAGTCGAAGATAGCTGCAACTCCACCTCCTCGGCCTGTGCCTCGAGGAATGTGAGTATTAATATGACTGGGAGGGGTGGATTCATTTAGGCTAACATATTCTCCATCACCCAGCCAGGTTTCAGTAAGACAAAATAAATCAATATCATAATCTGATATTAGTTCATTTACTAGTACACCTTTAGAAGAGAGAGATCTGATGTTTAAGAGTCCACATTTAACTCTCCTATTCGTTTGCACTATTGCTCTTGTGGTTTTAATTTTTATGAGGTTTTTATGCACAGCTCCTCTTCTGTTTACCTTTTTAAATAATTTCGATGGTGGGGGGGCAGACACCGTCACTATAGGGTTTTCACTAAGTAACTCCTGAAATGGAGGAGCAGAGAAGTGTGTTAGACTGCGACTCTGCGTAGGGTTTTGGGTGGGTAACTGCTGAAATGAAACAGTCCATGCTGGTTTCAGCAGTATTGTACTAAACACCGTTAGTATCAAAGCAGAGATCCAGTATTTCCTGTAAACCTCCAACCTTCTCAGCGGCTGCTTTCCTCAGTGAAGCTGTGAGAGGAGAATGGTGACAGGCTTCAGGATTGGACAGAAAGACAGACAGAGAGAGAGAACAGGCTGTGATCATGTGTTTGAGTTGATGTGAAGACGACTGTTGTTGTTGTGTTCATGTCTCCAGGAAATAAAGCTGGATTCCAGCTGACAGCATCACAAGATGTATAGAGACAGTGGTCCTCATTCATCAAACTGTCGGACCATCAAATCTGATCTCAAAGTGTTTGTTCTCTCATTTCAACACTAAACTACTGATCAGTTCATCTTTGTCACAGCTCTGAGATCAGTCTGACTGAAGCCTGCAAATCACTGGCTCTTATTTCAGAGAACCATCATTACATTTAGTAACCATGTGGTCTTTCTACAGAGCAGAACCTCTGCTGAAGTCCAGTAAGCACAGCTGATGTTTAGCTGTTGTAGGACCTTTAACATCATATCTATATCTGTCCATGTGTCTTTAGTTTGGTCCAGATGTTTTTAGAACAGACTCCATATTTACAGATTTGTCCTGTAATATTTCCAAAGTAGCTGAAATCTTCAAATGTGACTGAGCGGCTGGTTTTTAACAGCAGTAAATCCATCATTCCAGTGAGCAGTGAAGATCTCTCTGTCTCTGCAGTCATGATGCGTTCAGGGACTCTCAGCACTTTATTTCCACTGTGGATTTGAGTGAAACCTGCAGAGTAAACAGAGCTGATGGCCAAAGTCTCTGCAGGTCTCAGTGTGTTCACTCCAATACGTTAACATGAGAGCTGAAAGGAAGCTGGCTACGCTACACAGCCGCTCCACTTCTGGTCTGAACAGGACTGAAGTCCCTGCTGGTCTTTATACTGGATGTGCTGCATCACTGACTGACAGCTGATGAAGGGAGTCTCTGTAAACTCCGATTTATGACTTCTGCTCTCTGTCTTCTTCTCTCATCAGCTGGAAGCCAACTTTAAGGTGGTAAACATGAGAAAGGTGGAGATGTTGAGAGAGGATCTGCTGTGTCCTGATGATCCAGAGAGGTTGAAGCAGCAGCATCAGCTTGTGTGTGGAGAGGCTCTGACTGGGCCATGTTACTGGGAGGTAGAGTGGAGAGGAGAGCTTCATCCAGCAGTGACTGACAGAGGAATCCCAACAGTGCTGCAGTCTGAACTGCTCTGAGATCAGCTACACTGTCAGACACAAAGTCAAGTCCACCATCCTCCCTGTGTGTTCCTCTGGATGTGACAGAGGATCATCAGTGGATCTGGACTGCTCTGCTGCTGCTCTGTCCTTCTACACAGTCTCTGCAGACACACTGAGACTCCTCCACTCCTTCTGCTGCACACTCAGACACCTCCTCCACCTGGACCTCCACCTGGACCTAGACCTGATTTTTGTATTTTTTCATTTATTTGGATATACTTAAACCTGTTAATGTTCACATTAAATTGTATCTAGAAAACAGAATCATCTATTTTTGCTATGCAAATGCTCCATATTTGTATAGCGCCTTCCTAGTCTTTTTCGACCACTCAAAGCGCTTTTACACTACCTCGCATTCATCATTCACCCACAAACTGAGCCTAAATGCTCAGAAACTAATATTCACACACATTCATACAGTGGCAGAACAGTCGCAAGTGGCAATTTTGGAGTTCAGTATCTTACCCAAGGACACTTCGACATGGAACCTGGAGAATTATTAATTAATTTCACACTTTCTCTTGAGAAAAAATGATTTGTTATATGTGGCCTATCTAGGCCTACTTAGGATACTGCAGATGGGACTACGACATTTTTAGATTACAACTGTTAACTCCAAATGTGACGACCATGGAACGACTACAAGTGCCTTATCTTGAGAGCGAATAACTCATTAATCAACAGCCATTATTTAGCCAATAAGAACTCAGTATTCAGCTAGGTCATGGTATAACTAAAAAAGAATGAAAGAAATAATGTAGACGTTTAGTTTGTTATACTTACCCATTATTGTTTCACATGTGAAGTGTATCATATTGTAAAGTATAACCATAAAGCTCGTGAAAAATTATCCCCCAGTATGGCGGTAGCTTCTGGCTGTTTAATGTATTCATAAACTACATGTGTGTCCAAGCAGGCGCACACTAAGGATGAAGTGGATATGACTCATTTATGTCAGTTATTAATGGGGTCATTACAGATGCTTTCTAACTTTATAAAATCTTGATCATTTTGGTCACTATAAATTTGATATGAAACTTTCATCTTGTTCAGTAGTATTTACTTTCTTCATGTTTTAAGTTACAGGATAAAGTTACTAGATATTGAAATATAAGCCGCTTTTGTTTAAACCACTTTATATGCCACTCTTTCTATGTATAATAATGTTTTAAAGGTTTTTAAGGTTTATTATGCTTTAAGAGACACTATATATTGGGTTTAAATATGTTTTAAGGTTTAAGTCACTCTCTCTGTATGATGATTGTTGGGCTTCTGTAAATAGCATCATAGAGTTCGATCTAAACCTGCTCTTTTATGAAAAGCGCGGTGAGATAACTGTTGTTGTGATTTGGCGCTATATAAATAAAACTGAATTGAATTGAATTGAATGATTTCTTCTCTGTACAATGGCAATGATTATTTCTGCTTGCGAGCCTCTTATAATGAGCCCACACTGCTTAGTGCCTCTGAAGTAGATAAGAGCCCAAGTGCAGGTACTTTCAGCATGAGTGTAAAGGTGTATTAGTGTCAGCAGAAACATAAATGAAGTAGACGGTAGCGTCAGTTTGAGCCAGTTGAGCTGGAAAGTCCTGAAGACACCACTGTGGGAAACCACCTAATATTCTGGAGGTTCTAGAGAATTACGAATATATTTGGTGAAAAAAGGCGGGAATCTTAAAGGGCACCGCCTAAAGTAGGAGGAGACTGAGAGATATAAAGAATTCACAAGCTGATCCTTTAGTTTCGTCTTGAGTCTGCCAATATGTAACTCCGGTTTTTGTCTCGTTAAGAATAAAAGCTCTTGTACGGATTCATGACTGTCTCCAGTGAGTTTATTTGACTCCAAGTTGTTACAAATATGTTTTATAATGGTGGAGAAACTTTTTCTTCATCAATCTTTAGCACACACATAAAAATCTGTACCTGCTATCTGTATGAATGTAATGCTAAAGTGTTATTTCAGATGGAAGAAGTCAGGTAATATTTCATCAAATGAAATGTATTAACAGTTCAGAGTACAGTCTCCATGTAAATGGGGTAACCACAAAGATAACCTGTTCTGAGCAGTTTAGATGTGTGGTAAAAATTGCCATTAAAGCAGACCTTAGGTGAAACCTATCTACCTTTTGTAGTACAGGTTAATCAGTAAGTTCCACCCGACACCACAAAGTTACCGGGATTAGTCAGTTACTTCACTTCGTAGTCCTGTGGCCTCTGTGGTACACAGTTAAAGGAATAATGTGGTTGTGTCTCTATTAGTTTCCTTGTGTAATGGCACCACCAAGTGGGTAAAAGTGTGATGGTATATAATCCTGTTTACATTTTAAAACTAACAACAGATTGTCAATGACTTCAGGGTATTAACTATACTCCATTTGAGAATATCCCAAACAACCTTGCCAGGATGAGATATTTAGAAAATCTGAGTAAATTATGCATAACTGAGGCTGTTCAGTTTTCTTTCAGACCAACTTGATGGATTTTGTACTAACTTTGAAATTACATTAAATCTATCTTGAATTAAACTGTTCCGCGGTCGCCACATCCTTGTCAGAACTGACAATACGGCAGTGGTGGCCTATTTGAATCACCAGGGGGGTCTGCGCTCGCGCCCGTAATGCAAGCTGGCACATCAGATCCTCCTGTGGTTCCAGCAGAGACTGCTGTCCCTCAGAGCGATGTACGTCCCTGGGACCCAGAATCAGGGAGCAGACCTGCTGTCGAGACAGGGGCAGAGGCCCGGGTAATGGAGACTCCACCCCGAGGTGGTGGAGTTATTATACAAAGAGACGTGGACTTGTGTCCCATGTGGTTCTCCCTCTCGTTCCCATAGTGTTGCCACCGATGCAGTTCGAGTTCCCTCGAAGGGGAACGTCTCGGGTTACGTATGTAACCCTTGTTCACTGAGAAGGGGAACAAGACACTGCGTCGGTCCGCCACACCTCACCCCGCCTGGAGTGCCTTGCTTCATAGAAAAGGGCTAATGTGTCCTGTGTGCCAGCGTGCTTATATACCCCCTCCGGTTACGCCCTCACACACTACTGTTCTGGCAACACCAATAGGATTGGAGTAGTTTCATTCATAGTTCAGCCCTGCCACGCCCAGGGGCGTTCCCATAGTGTCGTCACAGACGCAGTGTCTCGTTCCCTTGAAGGGGAACTAGCCTACAGTATTAAGAAGCAGTTCAAATGAGCTCCACCTCCTCCAACTACAGCATTAAAGTACCTCCTGCATTATAATGATCAATAAGAATGATCCAATAACATAATAACACTGCAGAGTGAGTACTTTTACTCTGAATCACTTCAATCCTTCTGTACTTTAACTGAAGAGTATTTGTGATACTTGTACTTGAGAGATTGATCTGAATACTTCATGATAAATGAGGCGCTTGATGACAGTTTGGATGTGTTGCTGAATTAAACAGTGACAAACTTATATAACGAGTCCTGTCAGTTGCGCTATTCTTACATATGTTATAAAATGATTAATTGTTATTTAGGATATATTTCTTGACAAATCACACTTTTTAACCACCAATTTCAATGATGAATTGATTTATTTCTTGCAACAAATAAGAATGTAGCTCAGGCAGTGACCATATAGTTGCTCCAAACCCCTACACTGTTTAATAATGTTCCTGTACATTAACCATTTGTTTAACCTAATGTGCATATGTTGTTATACTCTGCATACTTACCATATGCATAGACTGCTGTTCATACTGTACATACTTCTCTAATCAGCCACCTGTTTACTGGTTACTTCTCATTATTTATTCTGTTCATACTGGTTAGATTACTATATTGTCATATACTGTATCAATCCACCTACCTCAAGTACATAACACCTGCACATAATATTTATTCCATCTTCCTTTGCACTGTGCTCCATTGCACTGTGTACATGTATGCATATATGTTTCACATCCACCTCTGACATACTTATAATGATAATAATAATTAAGTCCTGCATCCTTTGCACTCTGCTCATTGCTGTATTGTCTCAATCTGTCTATATTGTTTTTGTTCATAGTGTGTACAGTATATATGTGTTCTGTATGCTGTAGCCTGTGTGATTATTATTTTATTATTGTATGACTAAGCACATCATGAGGTTCACCAAAGTCAAATTCCTCTACATACCAGGTAAATAAAGCTCATTCTAATTACATTTGCACTCTCTAACTCTGTCCACTCCTATTCTATATGTTTTTAATATATTATATTACAGAAAGTGTATGACACTCATGACCAAAATAGTCAATAACATTCTGTCACTGTGCTACTTATGGATGTAATTTTAACGAAAATAAAGTATTCCCCTTTTGGCTGGGGTCCCCTATAACCCCACTTTGAGAACCACTGCTGTATCATATCTGTAACTCCACTGTACATGTTGTAAGATACAGCACTAGTGCGCTCATCTGTACAAACACTATATTTCTGCACTTCTGCTCAGATGCTAACTGCATTTCATCAAAGTGATGGTCCGCCGAAAATTAGACACATTAGTTGGCTGCTAACTAGATCGCTTAAGATAGCTATGTTTGGTTTGCTGTTAGCTATGTTAGCTGTTAGCTGACTACACTTGCTAAGATAACTAGTGTTAATTTGCACTAAGGCATTGTTAATTAGTTGTATTGGCTATTAGCCAACTACTCTAAATAAGATAAATAAGTTTAGTTAGCTGTTGTCTATGCTAGGTGTCAGCTAACTATTCTTACTATTCACTTGTTTCCCCAGCAGCCAATGGGAGCTGACATGACAGGAGACCACATACTGTTGGCGGTGTTGTGTTTCTGATTTAATGCCTCGCATCTACTTGCTAACGGTAATGCTAAAAACAGTATCACAAATGAGAGTGTCCTCCAGCCCACTTGATGTAATACCTACAAAGTTTTTACTGAAAGTAATAGATTCTGTTGGGCCCCATTTGATCTCTGTT